CTTATTACGTTGCATGTCGCACCCGAATGTACCTCGATTTCTATTCGTTTTGTAGATTTTCGTAAAGAGATAAAATTTAATGTAATTTTGTGTAATGCTTAGTGATAGGTATTATTGTTCTTGGACATTCCGCTAATAATAACGAGCAAATATAAGAGCCCAAGAGCTATTAGATGTACTTGATGGCTACCTCTTTGTTAGCTCGTAAATCATTCGAACACGAGTTAATTCCAGTGATCTTTACCAGTTTCATACTCATGAGTCGGTTCTGCGGGATATTAATTTAAAAAAAACAGTTACACATCTATCCGCAAGGGCTATAATAATCGAATAACAGATATGTAGTTCCCTAACAGTTCTCACGTTGTACTAATGATCGAGGAAGTCGGTAATTTTTAATAATTACCTATCATTTTAATTGCAATATTGTTGTTTTCTTCGATTCCGCAGCGTACTTAACAGGTAAAAGATGCGTTGCACGAGATGTAAACAACATGAGCGTAGAATACAATCGGTTTGATACTATCAATTATGCGCGATTTCCTCAAATTTACATGCGAGTTTGATAAATATATGTAAAAACGTTGTATCTAAAGAAGAATAATATATCCGAGGAAACAGAGTAGGGTTTAAAGAATGAATATGGTGAAAATATATGTCTATTTTCATTAAAATTCTCAAATTATCTATTAATAAACAAAAATAATGAATGAGGCAGGTTTAGAAGGAAGTAGGAACAAATTCACGCTTTGCCAATTAGAAACAACCTAATTGATAATCAGAATCGATTGCGGCGGATAAACCAAAATCGAAGCATGGGGAGAAATCCGAGCACGTGCCGAAATCTACTGCGTAATAACCGCCCCCTCGGCCTCCCGATTTCCTCCGCTCCTCGACAGAAAAAAGAAACCCACCGTCGAAATTTCCCCGTTCGGACCGTCGAAGACCCACTAAACAGGCCGATATAAAGCCGGGGCGGCATCGCCATCACGCATCGCGCGTCCGGATAACGCACTTCGTACGCAAGTCGAACCGTCATCCGCTCCACGGAGCGCTGTGACGCCGCTCACAAAGAAGTCGTGTATCTTTTCCGTGTGCACAGGGGACGTTAGGGGGACCCCGCGAGGGCATCGACCTCAATGTTTACATCGCTCCGAACGGGAGGACGGAGCGTTTGGCCTTCTCTGTCGCACGCCGCGTGCTGGACGAAGACCGACGGAAAACAAAAACAATGCAGTTGCACCGATTTGGTGCGTACGAGTTTGTACCGATTCGCAGGTATACACGATGAGTTCGATACCGAATGGTATTGTTAAAATTACCACGTAGGGCGGTCGGTGTTCCTGTGAAGGGGTTGAATGTACGCGCCACCTATTCGCTTTGTTGCCTTTGTTCCTACCCATCCAAAATTACTCGCTTAATTTCGTTTTATTACATATTAGAATGGTTTCAAATAGTGTATGCCATGACGAGGGCACATTAAAAATATCTGGAAAAGTATACTAGTACTTAAAATTTCGAAATTTAGTAGCATTTCACCTATCCTCGAATTAACAGGGCCTCCATGGGAATGTAATTATGAGGCCCATTTTATAATAAAACTAATATTTTTAATATTTCATGACACACACTGTACAAGTACAATCATCTAAAGTGGTTTTTACTTTTACGCTTTTCCATTATACCACACTATACTTTGCAAAAACCCTCAATTAAAAAGAAATTATTCTTGCAGTGGTACAATATGAAATGTACAACCTTGGCGAAAAGTATTTTCCACTTGTTATTACGAAATTGCGTTACGTTACAAACGAGATGTATACGGGAGATGTTTATATTACGTTTATTACGGTAATCATCTTAAGTTGTAAATAAACTGTTAAAAGGTTCTAATAAACAAACGTGTCTAATTAGACGCGTTTGCAGGGCAGTAAACATTTTCGAAAACTACAAAATTAGGCTGTGTAACATTGTAATTAAATGTAATAAAATGGAGGTTAATAAGTCATCGCAGTCTGGCATTGTTATCGAAAAATTCTACAGAGTAATTCTCTAAAATTTCAACGTGAATTCCGGCAATGCACTTTCAAAATATCGTTTATTTCATTACTCACGCTGTGATAAATTGTCGGCGTATGTTACAAAATCGCCGCAAATTGACACAATGCATATCGAATCCGTTTTTCTTTGTTTCTCCTTCGTGAATGTCTAGATCGATTTTTCTTTCTTTCCTTCTTTCTTTCGGATCGAACAAAGAACATTCTGACAAAAACGATTTCTATTTCCGCTTAAAATATGAATTCGAAATCGACGAAACGATTTTCACGATGAACGTTGTACGTTGTATTCTACGTTTCTAGCGTGTAGAATAAATTCCTCTTTGGCTATAAAATTATCATCAATTTCATATAAATTCTACCTAATTGGTTTTACTTATTTTCTATCGTTTTTCGCTTGGTGCACAAAATTCGTACTTTACGAGTACGCCAAATCAATTAAGTTTCACAACCAATTAAATATTTTTCGTTGAAACATGAATATTCATCTAATTCATTAATTAGAAATAACACATCGGAACGATTTTTATCTGGTATGTAGTAAGTGGTAATTTTTTTCGTATTAGCTCAGACAGCGACTTAATTAATTTAGAGAACATTTTCGTAAATAGGTTCGAGAAATTCTATTATAAATTCGGTACGCTCGTTGAAATGGCATCTGCTGGAAATGTGAATTAAAATAGGTCGAAGCGATCTAAATAACTCGAGCTCTGTTCAAATCAAAACAAAAACAAATTCGACTTGTTTACGCTTATTATTCTTGCTAAATGAAAGCAGCCTCGATAGGGACTGTTACGTAACATTTCTATACGCTGGTAGATTTTAAACATTCACTATAAAATACAGCTCCTCCGCCCCAGCCAGCAACCACCGACGACTATACATCCCCTTTTTTCTATTCGCTGCACCGGCGTGTTGTCACATAAATTCTTTCAAACAATTCGGCCGTATTTTTTTCCATCAACCAGGACCCCCTCGAGGGGGCGGCCCCAAACGCAGCTGCTCCTGTGCGTAACCGAGCATATCCGAATTAATTCCAACCAGTAATAAAACGGTGCCAACATTTAAAATACTCTTACTAAGCCAGTGATTAACATTTTGACATATGTCTGGTGTCATTTACATTTTAATCAGGCTTTGTTCGGCAAGTAATCGCTTGGGTGAGCCTATGCGGTGTTTATGCACGTGGAAAGCGGCCCAAGAAAGCTCGGTGTAATAAATTTAAATAGTCCTAAAACGTCTCAACAAAGTTGTAAAGTTTAACGCAGTGAATTGCTCGTCGAAATCCACCCCTGTGCCGGTACCAGCAGACGTACCGAGGGATCGGAAAAATCTCTACCTGTTGAACTCGAAGGGGCTCAGTTCAGTGCACCCGAACGCGGAGGGTCGTGTGGATTTTTCGAAAGGAACACCTGCCCTTCGTGCGTTCTGATACAGATTTGTTTTGTTTGGGTGCCGGCCCAGACGATGGTGGGCCTGGGTCTCGCACTCGCACCCAGACTGGTCCAACCGTACGGGGTGGAATCGCTTCTTTCAGACGCTCCGTTAAATATTTGCCTTTGTTCGGTGGTCACGAGAACGGCGCAAATATCTTCGAATCGTGGGAGTCGATATTATACACGTATGTACACGAAAACATTTCCCACATTCGCTCGTACATTTTTATCGGGCGATAAGAGTTTCGTTTTCGTTGAATGAAAACTCGTAAATATTTCGAGAATCCTTCGGTACGCAGCGCAATCTCGATTACTCATCGGACCGTTTCAACAGCATTTTGTTCAGGATTCCCAGAAACAATTGAATAATTCCTTGCACAGAACAAAGAATATCTGCAACAGCTCGACGAAAGGAGACGGAGCGACGTTGTGTTGGTGTTGTCTCGCTTCAAGGTTTACTTCAATGACGTTATCAATATGGCGCTCGGGTCGATATGTTTATGGACGAGCGGCAACGTTGCCTTGTTTCGAAATATTCCCTTAAACATCAGTAGAAAATATTTTTTTGTAGAGGGTATTAATGTCAACTCCCATTATTGTTTAACATTATTAAGGCAAGAAGAAGTTAATAGGTATCACCATTTTTACGCAAGTTTTACTCGCTTTTATTTTGTGAAATTTACTGATTGTATCTTCTCTTGGCTCTTTCGATTTAAACATGTTTTGATTATGGTGAGAGGGTAAGACATTTTTTACCACGATCAGAATCATTATTCCATCAAAATTATTTGTTTATTTTAAAATCGTTGTGTAGTTGACGATATAATAAAGTTGTTAACTACTCTCTTAAATTTAAAAAGTAAATTTTTGTCTCGCATATCTTAAACATACAACATATCTTGTACATACTTGTAAATAAAGAGTCCACGAAATATCGATTATCTATCCTTATATGCGATATTTTGTTTTTATTTTACCGTTTCCTAGAAAATATTGAAACAAAAAAGATAATATAGCAATCAAATTATCTCTAGAATGCACTAAAATAAGTACCTACTCTGAACAACTGGCAGGAAAATCCTGGTGAAAAATATAGATACAAAATAGAAAGTAAAACAAAAGCTGATACAAAGAACAAGTTAAACAGAATATAAGATACATGATCGGGCGAGTATTGCTTTCCTTTCATCGATTACGTTCACCTATCGCTCCGTTAAAAATAGCCCTTGTAATAATCCTTTACGTCCTTTTTGCGCTTGCATTCTGCTCCGGCATAAGCTTGAACTCAATGTGACATTGACCTACTTGGCAACGCTGTAAAGTTCACGCCACGTGCTGCCTGGCGAAACATAACAAAGGATCCGAAACGAAGGACGAGTGCCGAACGGGATCCTTTGTCCTTGGCGTTTCGCTACGAACTGCGATATCGGATCCGTTCGGTGGAATTCCTCCTGATGCGTTTCATCGAATGAGCTTTTCCAATAAATCGTTTTTTTCTTTGTTTCAGAATTTGACTCGTATCGTGTTCCAATGTACTTGGCCGAGTTGCTTAAAAATGACCAACACCTGCGAAGCAATAGAAGCGCACGTTCGAAACGAGCACTTAAAGTAAGCAATAACAGTAGTATTTTGGCACAACATATCGTTCATTCAGAAAAATGAGAATAATGTTTATATTACGTATATACAAAGTTTATAATAATCGGCCTTAAAACCCGTCATGCAAATAGAAAATAAACTTGGCATCTCTATTATTGTGAACATTTTAAAACGGAATCATCTCCTCTTGCCAATAATGTGTAAATACAAAGTTATAACAACACGTGCGGTGAGGCTAACATTTTATTACACTATTGGGTCAACCTGGAAATAAACTGGTTATCCAATTGTAGTAAAATCATCTTCAGATCCTCGTTTTCTTACTTCAAATATCGAACCAACAGTGAAAGTTTGAATGAAACCCCATATCACAAAGGAGCTTCCAATGCGCATGATCGTTCTCGCCGAAAATTTACAAACGCTCGCTCTGCGTTCAACAACTCGCGGTCTTGACATTTTTTTTGTGACCCACTTTCAACGGATCGATGTCTATTTTCGGACGTAGTTATAACCTCCAAAAATCCAGCGAACTCTCCCACTAAGCTCTAGACGACTAGACGAAGGAGCAGGAGAGGATTTTTTTGTGACTTTCTCTTTCGATTCGAAATGTGCTCGTTTATCGTTTGTACACAAAAAATAACCCCCGAAATATAGAAGGGGATGATTGATTGGTTCACTCTACGCACTGTTTTTTTTTTTCGTTCTTTCGGCTATTTTTTCATCATAACTTACGTCTATTTATTTACTTACCTCCATTGAATTACGGTCTTCTTTGTATTTTTCGACACCTACCTCTTTATAGTTTTTTTAACCATAGTATATCTAAATTGGATTTGCTTAACTTATTAACAAAAAAATACGAATACTTTCTAATTAATAGTAACAGTTTTTGAATTGAATTTTCTAGTCAGTAATTCAAATTCGAGTCCATTTCGCTTTCTCTTTGCACGAGAATAATTCATTCATTTGTAGTGAGTGTCAATTCAATCAAAAAGTTGAAGTTAATCTAAAAAACACTTCAACTCCAATTACACACGAAAGAAGATTCTTACCGATAAATTCGAAGTTTTGATTTCACTTCGAACTGACCGATATACTCTTTTGATTGGCATTCGATCATTCTGCGAGTAAAATCGTTAATAAGATACCGTATTCAATTTGTAGAAGAAAGTTATAATAAAATCAAATCGGATTCCGCCGCGGGTTCTAACCGTGCATACAATAATAAAGCATTAGAAAATTCCACTTGGAAATTGAACGCTAATTGCATCGAAGTGAAATTTATTGCCGCAGTAACGACGTTATACAACAGGTTCTTGCGGTTGCAATAATTTGTGATGTTACATTTTGATATTGTTATCAAGTGTTTCGCTGTAGGAGCCCGAAGTAATTCAATTTCCACGGGTTTCTTCCTTTATTTATGTGTTATTTGTTTCCAAATTAATAAGGGTGCCTTCAATTTAGTGCCATTTTGTTATAATTAAACATGGCCTTTACATTCTAATCTAATATTCCATAGTAAATTGCTTGCTTTCGTAGTATGAATAGCGTTTAGAATAACTATAATAAAATAATAATAATAATGTAATTAAGGATTCATTAAGTTTAAATGGAATGTCGGGATTTAAACAGTTACGGCAACAAATTCGACGTAAGCGCATAAAAAATTTCAACTTTCACCAAAAAAAAGGCAAATAAAAGTTTTCTATTTTACCGCTTGCGGCTAGCGAGAAACCGTTGAAATTTTCGTCACGCCCAATTTTTAGGAACAAGTGGAATAACGGTGATTGGTATTTACTATAAAATGTAAAACATGTAGGAACCGGCGCGGCCTCAACCGAAACTTAACGTGGATCATTTAAGTGGATTTGCCGGTGTAACCTCGCGAACGGTTCCATAACGGTCCAAGGCCAAACTTCCAAAATTTCTTAAGGTTCGATGGACACGGCGAACCCAAACCTTATTAACATTTTACTATTTATTAACTGGCTGCCAATAAAAAACCGTACAAACGATTGTTTAATTGATAGGGGCAATTCAAGCAGGAAATCAACAAAATTTCATACAAGAAGTTATGTCATAAATTGTGTATATGTCGAAGGATGCTATTCATCAAGTCACGGAATGCAGCCTTGAATAAGGCCGCCATATGATTTATTTAATATTGTTTACTACAATTAAAAACACGATTTTTTTTTCAAAGATAGCTCGGCACGTGCTATTTTCGGTTATTTCATTTACTGCGAAGGTTGTAGCGTAGTATTGTTACGTCATTAAATTTTGTTTTCAATAAATATTTTTCTAGATTTTCATTACAATTGTATCTATTGCGTGATATTGTTGTTATTATCGCGCTATTGCGTTTTCTATGATACACGTGTCGGACTTAATTAGTCTAAAAAAATCACTTAAAAACGCATCTAGGTATTTAATTAACTGAAAAATTAAGTCAAATAACACAGTAATTGGAAATTATTTTAAATACGGTATTTAAAGTGTTTATTAAATAACTTTTATTTAGAAGAGAAAAAAATGATGTTGAAGGACTATTAGATTTTATCTACAGAAAAAATTAACCAATTGATGTTGTGTTGCTTCTACCTAATCTAAATCCAAAATAAGAAGTTTACAACATACTTTACTTAGTTCTATAAGTATATTTGACTTTGCTGCTACATAGCAGTTCCTATATAAGCCAAAACTCAGGTACATATTCCATAATTAAACAACTATCCCATAATCGGACTCTCTCCCCTAATAGAATGTTTATCTTTCCAGAGACCAAGTGTGCGAAGACGCCGAGGAAGAATTCTACTACACCGAGGTAGAGCTAGGCCTGACCAGTCCGCCGCCGACCCTTTCGCACCGCGACATGGCGAGACCCTTCCACGAGGACCCCGATTACCAAAGACTGCTGGTCGGCAACATGCGACAGACCATGCTCCAGCAGCAACAGCACCCCATTCCGCAATCGCCCCACAAGCTCCTGAAGCTGTCGCCCCGTCCGCACAGCCCGAAGATGCCGGTGTCGCCGCGACGGATCCGCGGCGAGAACAAGAAATGCCGGAAGGTGTACGGCATGGAGCACCGGGAACAGTGGTGCACGCAGTGCAAGTGGAAAAAGGCCTGTTCGAGGTTCGGCGACTGATACGCGCCGTCCTCCAAACGCTAAGAGACACCCGACAGTGCTCTCCCTCTCCCAAAAATGTGTTCTTTTCGAAGGGACGAAAGGGTTCGATTATACCCTGATCTCAACACTTGATGGAAGTACAATTAATACGATGTAATTATTTCGTGATTGTTGAAAAAGATCAATCAAATCAAGCTGTATCTGTGTTCTGTAAACGTTTACTCAATATACTGCTGCTAGAGTCGGAGGCTCTGCTACAGATCTAATTTTACTGAGGAATTTAATCGGTTTTTATCGGTTTTTGGCTTCGAGACAATCTTCAATAAAGCAAATCAAATTCACTTAATAATTTTATTCAATCCGTAAAATAGAATCAAACGGCCAAAAATCGATTTATTTATGACATATGATGATAGATCAATTGCGTTGTCATATGTAAATATTTATTCATGTAAGTGTTGGTAAATTTTTATGTATTATTGTCATTTTTTTATTTATTACATTGTTATTTATTGTTTCATTTTATGTTATGTTAAGTGAGTTGTTACAGCATATAATTTTATACAATGAATAAATATTCTGTCCGTTTTAACGTGTTAAGTATAAGTAAAAATAAGTATTATTGTTAAGCAGGATAATTCAAAATAACCGCCACTTTGGTTTGATTTATTTTGAGTTGATCCGGCGATGAATTTCATGCATTCTGCAGTTAATTTAGATCTGTGGATGTATAAGACTGCACATTTAGAGCTGTTGGGCCGCATTTCTTTTTTAAGACATCTTTACAGTCGCCGCTTTTGGCGACTAGACTGACAGTGGCCTTTCACTGCTCTACTTAATCGACTAATTTTTCATCGAGCCTCCACAGTATTACTTAATACGAAAAGCATGTCTAGTGATCTACGTGGACGAGTCTCAACCATCTTTCATATAAGTTAAATATAAACGGCGTTTTTCGTTTGTGAACCGCTCAAAAATTTCTCACCATCGAAGTATTGTTCAGCTTTCACCAAGCATTGAAATTATTATAATAAGTGCCGATAAATCAATCGCCTGTTGTAGCCTATTTTATTTCACCGGCAGTATAAATACCTATAATAGTGCAATGAATATCACCTGCTGGTGAAGATGATGCCTGGATCTAGCAGGAGGTTGATCTGTCGACCCTAAAATAAATAATTATTGTAGAATCGAAAACGCGAATGTTCTGGCCAGTTGTCATTAGTCAAGTTGAGGAAAAGTGCAATAATTGAAGTTAATATTTTTATTTTATTAAAATAAACTATGCTATATTAGTTTGTTATGTAATTTTTCATTTAGAGTCCTTGTCTTATTATTCAGGTACTTAATTAGCAATAGAAATTTAAATTGGAAAATGTATGCACAATATTTTATCGTGGGTTGTTCAGAAAATCGATGAATAACATTACTTATACTACTCTTCTATATATGGTCACTTTGAAAAAAACCAGTATTTTGGGCATACTTCGGGTCTCTTCTCTATTAATTTCTAGATATTTTTTCCAATTCCATCCCCACGACACTAAAATTTTAACAAAACACATTCTAATTTACTTCTATTAAACAGTATTAAATTTAAAATACATTGACGAATGATGACGAAAGCCAGTAATTGAGGAATCTGTGTGATTAAAGATTAGGGGTGTATAGGTAGATGGTAAAGAATCGGATAACTCAAACAGTCTTTGACAATATCACTAGATCGTTGAGCTTACATTCCTGATAAAGAAAAGGTGTAATTACAAATAAATATATTTTAAATGGGACTTAATGTAAGTTCTGTAAATAAAGGGTGTATTTACCAAAGCTTGTTATATTGAGTAAAAACAAATTTGGATAAAATGAAATCCAAAAGGAAGCAATCATCTGTTTATTTATCTATATATTTGGCGTAGTTACGGGCAGTTAAATATTTTTAAAGATAAGATATATACTATTTACGATTTACCTGTAGATGGCGTATTTGATCGTTAGTCCAAGCGTTCGGTGTAATTGTTGCCTAAGATATGAGATTAGTTTTACAAAATAATATTAATATCTAATGATAAAAGAGAAATGTAGTGGCCGAATTTGAAGAAACAACGATTGTGTTTATCAAATATAGAGTCACTGTAACTATTTTTAAAATTAATACAGAAAATTTAAGGATCTCGAAGCCAAAGTGCAGAAAAAAATGTAGTTGGTCGCGCTACCTTACCTTGAAGACGCAACTAATGTTTCGGTTGCGTGTTTTTGAGCCATATAGTAGGTCTGTTTTCTCTATATATTTTTTCCTTTTGATCGTTATGGTTTTTAATCATTGTTGCTTTTTATCTATTCGTATCTCTTGTCTTGGCAATTTAGGATAGTTGAAAGATTGTATAAATCAGTTAACATATGTCTGCCATATTTGTTGTGTAGTAGTCGAATTTGGCTTAACTTTTTTCGAGCTGCAGGACAATAAACCTATATCAAAAAACGCCTATTTTATACGATTTCACTAAATTTTCCTTTTATAAATCCCGGTAATTGTTCAAATCACATGAAGAAAAGCTCAGAAAAGTTAGGTCAATAATAACGAAAGTTGTCCTCTATAAAAAATCATTCTTCGATCCTATATTTGTAAATATTTCTTATGTTTATAAGAAACTGCACCTAAACAGTCATAATGTTCTACAGGACGTATCACAATGAATATTAAATCGTTGATATTTTATGTGTAAATTAAGTAACTCGTCATTAAATTGCCATAATATTCAGGGTTGTATTTGTAGTATATCTCATTCGGAGAAGAAAAACAAAACTATTTTTTGACGGTATTTAAAATACGAAATGGTTGTGTTTTTGTCTTTTTGTCTGAAATGTTGGCAATAATGGCCTTCAGTGTGGCCCAAAATCAAATAAACATTTTGAGACGTCTTGTTTTTTTATAAACGTAATTTACTCATTTTATATTACCTCTAAGTTTTTACTCTTAAGCACTCTATGTTATGTTATAGTATATAGATATATTATATTTTTCAGAGTATTCATATACATTTCTGTATTTTTTAATTTTTAAGTTTGTCGATTTAAGTCTCATGGCATATGTAGTTTAGGATATATATTTTAGAAAGAATATAAATAACATACATACATATATAAAATAAATTTTAATATAAGAGTGTATATGAAGCGAGATTCAGATTATTTTCATTTTTAAATTATAACATTGTCAAATACAAATATCAATTAATAAAATTCATAAAGTATCATTACCAACTATTTGTCTTATTAAACTAAAAAAAACAAAGTTCACCTCTTCGTTTCCTCATACCAAAAATTTCCAAATTTATCCCAAAATTATTTTCGTAAAACACCCACTTGATAAATATTTAAATAAAGAATAAACCTTTGAAATACCTTAGAGCACCATATAAGAAATAAATAGCTCCTGTAAACATTATCTAAAATTTATAAGGAATACTTCTTGTAGTCGTGCAAACAATTAATAAACGTATTTTCTACATCAGAAGGTCCATCTAAAAAAAATGTGTAAAAAATATTTCATTATAGTATGCTTATTCATCTTACCAATCGAGTACCAAGGGGAAGATGAAGGATCGAAGAATTTTCTAACTGAAGATGCCGCATTTCTTATCGCCAACGGTATAGTAATTGCTAAGCAAATAGCTGGTTCACCAACAGCTGAAAAAACAATTAATCAACTCGACTCATAAACATTTTTATAACCAATAAAATTATAGAATGTTTAATGAATTAACTGACCCTTAGACTTCAATACACCAACAGGATTTGGATTGTTTCCAGGCAATTTAATTCTAAAATCAATAGGAATGTCTTTGGCTCCTGGCGGCTGGTAATTCCACGTTCTATTGGTTAAAATTTCACCGTTATCACCGGTTATTAACTTTTCAGTTACGTAATAGCCCAGACCCATAATGAAAGCTCCTTCTATTTGACCTATATCCACTTCTGGATTCATGGAATAGCCGGTATCCTCTAGAATGTCCACTCTAGAGACCTGGTGTAAACCGGTTAAAACGTCTAATTCTACTTCAGCTGCACACGCAGCGTATACTTTATATCCTTCCAAACCTGGAGCTAATGGGCTGTACCTAAAGAATTACTATATTAAAACGTACTGTATTCAAAGTGTTAGGGATCACTACAAAAATTTTAACATATGTCTTACATTGAATTTGCAACCAAATTCACCAAATTCTTATGTGACTCCCGCACGAGAGTTTCCCATGAGGGGTTGTCCAATTTCTCTTTGATTGGTTTCATTCTATCGAGTAAAATATCGCATGCATTGCAAACTCCCTAAAATTAAATTAATTTTAATGGATAAGATTTTTGTCTTGATATTGGTGAATACCCAGCATATTCCCTCGCTAGTCATACTAGCTGCTGTCATTTTCGAATTTGCTGACGTTACGTTATTACTGGGTTTGACGCTAATTTTATCCATTGGTATGCCCAATTTGTAAGCACATGTTTGAATAGCCTGTAAATAAATATTATTGTTTATCATATTACGTTCTACGTATATTATGTATTTACTTTTGTGTTAACCCCTTGACCAATTTCAACGCCTCCATGAGAAACGGCTACACTTCCGTCAAAATGAAAAATGGAAACTGTTACGCCGTAATTCAAAAATAACTCAAAAGAATAAATCATAGGTATCACAGATATACCTTTTTTGCGCCATATGTTTTTCTAAAATAATAAAAATTTTCCTCACTGCAATAAATATCACCTAAACAGAATTGTTACCTCATTAAAAAGTTTTATCTCTTGTTTTCTGTTTTTAATATCGGCCCATTCTAAAAACTCATGCATGTACCCTAATACTTTTGGGTCTTCTACAGTCATGTTCTTTAACCTGAATTCCAATGGGTCCATATTTATTATTGAAGCAGTGTGTTCTATTATATTTTCTAACATTCCCAAGCCTTCGATAGAGCCTAATAAGGAATAAAAAATACTTCAAATGAACATTAATAATGATCCTCTTACCTGGTGATCTAACATAAGAGGTACTGTGAGCGTCAGTTGTAACAGTTTTGACGTTTATGCTAACCACGTCGTTTTTATATGAACAATCATGGAATATGCTCAACGTTAAGGGTATGACATCTTCGTTACCATTTTCTCCATGGTTAATATAACAAGCATTGTTCAAATACTGTATCCTTCCTTCGTCATCGACTGCTATTTCGTAATCGCTATGCACTGCATTTCGCTTTCCCACTAAAGCGAAATTACTTTCTATCGGCAGCCACATTTTCACTGGTTTTTTCAGTTTGTACGCCGCCAAAGCTGTAGCCGTTGATACAATAGCATTGTTGTTTACTTTACCTCCGAAGGAACCTCCCACACGCCTGACGCTCACGTTTATCCTACAATTTTTGCCCATTAAAAATTAAATACAATATTTATATTAATAATTAACGATTTTGATAATTCACTTACATATTTGCTGGTATGTTTAATGCAACGGCTGCAGCGTTTTGGCACAGATCAATCCATTGAGTACTTGCCCATATGTCTAAACCGTTTTCTTTATAAACGGCATTGCAAACTTGTGTTTCCATGTAAAAGTGATATTGCCCGCCCATATCGTAAGTACCATTAATGATCTTTGCTACATTGTTTCCTGCAAACGTATTTAATAACTTCATTTTTATCTGGTCTTAAATCTATTTATTTACAAACCTTTATTTGTTGCTTCAATTATACCGCACTGTTGGATTCTATCTAGTTTTGAGTGTTTCAACACTTCTTGAGTCTCGAGGAAGAATTCCTCATCGCCTGGTTCGTAAAGGACTTCTATTAAATCGGCTGCTTCTTCGGCTCGTTCCCTCGAAGTGGCCACCACGACGCCGATGGGTTGACCGTGGTACCTAACGACGCCGCTGCAGAATAATTCGACGTCGGCGGGACTCTGAGGAAAGAACATCAACTCTTTTGGTACGCTCACGTTCCTGCCAGGTATGTCTGTTTCGTCCAGGTACGCCACCACACCTTCCAGTTTCTGTAATGAAAATGTGTGAGTGTAACAATTTAGTAAAGTAGCGATTTGAGTGGGATTTACCAAGGCTTTTTCTTTGTGTACGTGCGTAATTTTTGAAAGCGGAGCGCATTTGGCCAGAACAAAAGCGGCGTGTAATTGCTGAGGAAGGTCTGGCATATCTGAAATATATTCTGCTTCTCCTAAAATGCATATATCATTTTTTATTGGTTCAATTTTTTAAAGTGTTTGTGTTTACCTGTTGATTGGTGTAGTCCTTCCTGTTTCAATTTAGGATAAGTCAGGGGGTACATTTCTTTAACTGACTCGTAGGTTTGGCTTCCTTTGGATACAGGGCGATGTAGTTTCTCTCTACCAGACATCATTTTTGGTGAAATTAATTCCTCTGGAGCGATACTCAGAATAAACTGGAATATACTTACTATTATAAAAGGTATTTACACAATTGGAGCCTATTGAAGACTTATTGGAGCCTATATTCGAGAACTATTGGAGCCTATTGGAAAACTTACTTTGTAGAACAAACTGATAGCGCATTTTTTCAAAAACTCAGGTTTTGGGCGCATTAGGTTGAATTCCGGCGATAGTTCGTTGTGTAGGCTTGCGAAAGCGCCTTGTAAAACATGATTATCAAAGGCATTTTTACCCAAGAGGAAGCTTTCCGTCTCGCAAGCGTGTATTTTGGAACCGAGACAGCCATAAACGATGTTTGCTTCTTCTATGATATTTCCTTCGGTGAGTTTGAGCAGAAATGCTGCGTTAATGGTAGCGTGGACGTTTTGGGCGCGTCTCATAACCTGGAAATGGTATGTTATTATGTAAATCATAGATTTACCAAGCTCAATGGGTAGTTATTTTTTGTTCTATAAATACGTTTGTCTTAGAATGGTTAGAACACCTACTTTAAAACTGTCGAAGAAATGGCAATCAGTTAAAAAGGGGAATATTATTTTTTTAATAATTTTATTTTCCATGTCGGTTTTCAAAAATTCCATAGGTGTGATTAGAACTTCTTTTTCATTTACATCAACTGAAACCATTGAAAAGAATAGTTAAAATTCCAATAAATTCCAGAAACTTACCAATTTGCAACAATGCGTTAATAGTTTCCAGTAGTAAAAATATGTCTGAAGGGAAATCTTTGTGTTTATGCTTTATCATAATATTTCCAGCTAACGTCCCAACCTGAAATAATGTAATATAGGAAACAAGTTTTCTCATTTTAGATCAAAATTACGTACGTTCCTAACTGGTAGATTGGCTACAAGATCTATATGATTGGCTATTTTTTTGAGATACTTCAATTTAGGTCTTTTTTCAGATAATTCGTTAAATAACACAATAGTTTTAGTCAAAGTCATATTGGCGCCAATAACTAAACCATTTTTAAGAATCAAGTGATTTTGCAGTTCTGCAACATCCTGTATATCGACATACATCTTGAACGCTGTCTTCGATTTGTAAACACCTGAAATTTGCAATGTAGATAGATAAGAAAACAAATAATTAGTAGTGATAAAGATACCCATTGTTTTACAAGCAACATAAAAACATAATCGTTTTCCATTGCTAGTTATAGAATAGGTAAGCAAATAGTCTTTCATTATTATGGACAATTTGTTTTACCTTGAGCTGTGTTTCCTGCTACAATACAAATTGAACTGCAGGTGTTATTGTTTTGAATTGCATTGGAGGTTTTAAGGATTTTAAGTAGATCACTGACATTTTCAACTTTAATCCAGGATATTCCACTGACATCATAAAAAAACGGCGAAGTAGTTTTGGAGTTGCAGTTACCATTTGTGTTATTTTTCATGGGACAACTGGGCAAGTCTTCGATATCCACAGATTTGTTATTACATAACGATTTGAAAGCTGCCAAAATTGGCCTGAAAGTTTTGTAATTTTTTGTCTTTTGTCCACCTGTTTCCCAAGCAATGTTCGATTACCTGTAACCGGTGCATCTGCATATATTTCCGCCGAAGGAATTTTCCACCTCGGCCATGGTCAAATCGTCCCCTTTGGAGGTTTTTAAGGCGAACATGTTCATGATCATGCCCGGCGTGCAGTAACCACATTGCGTACCGTAGAATTTGTTGATCGTGCTTTGCAATTCGTGAGGATTATCCCAGCTTCCCAGCCCTTCTATAGTGGAGATTTCCCAACCGTGGGCAGAGAATATCGGTATCAAGCACTGTAAAATGATTAGTATCTTATTTTCGGTTTTTTCGAATCAATTTGTCTCGACCTTCGACTCGCTAAATATTAACTAAGTATAATAATTAATGATGTTAATTAAAATTTAGGAAATTTTCAGAGTGAATTAATTTTGCTATAATTTCGCAGTTATTAAATTTAAAAATTTGCTTTCTAATCGTTGTTTGAATTAATTGGTCGATAAATTACATTGGATAATTTAAAATAAGTATTTTTGTATAAATACACAGAAATTTTCATTCAATTATAAGTACAAGGTCCAAATATGAAATAAACGGTCTAAGTATCTAATTAAAATATCGTATACATGCGTTGATAAAAGAATTATTGCATGTTTCATGCTACTTACAGAATTTACAGCAAATATTTCGTTTTTTCCAGTGGCGTTGTGTTTTCTTTTCACGCTTACCACGCACGTGCCACAGCCGCCCTCTAAGCACATACGCTTCGTGCCTGTGAGGTGCAAATGCTCCCTCAAAAAACCATTGAGGGTTGTGGAGCGCGACAAATTGCATGGCTCAACTAAAATATTTTAAAATTTTTATCCTAATACCTACATAAAATCAAAAATTGTGTTACATTATTGATGATTTTTTTTAGAAATATGATACGTAAGCTATTAGAAAAAAATGGAATCATTTGGAGTATTCAAAGCTACAGAAAACAGTTAATGTGAATTATTTCACCCTATAACATATACAGAGTGTACCAAAAAAGTGGTCAACTGTACTTTTGTATACGTAAAAAAAGAATAGCCAATTTTAGGTAAACCCATAAACTTTATCTCAAATACCTGTAAATATACAAGATATAAAAAGAATAATTAATAATAATTAATAAAAAGAAAACGTAATGCATTGTAGATAAACATAGATGATTAACCTCTACGTGCGTAAAATGTAATGTATTACAAAATGAAAATGTAATGTTATCTATAAAAAAATGTCACGGTCTAAATTAATGATTTATCGTTTTAATTACTTACAACATAAGCAGTATTTTGTTCTTGTGATTTAGTTAAATTTGTTTGCGGTTTTCCTTGTTTTACTATAGGGTAATCCAACTATTTTATAATGTCGGATATCTCCCTTAGAGATGATAATGCAAGAATTCAACAATATTCGGGTTTCGGGTTTTCCAGTTGTACAATTTAGTTATATTACTATTATTAAAAGTTATATCTATTACTTTAATAGGGTGATTTGTTTTTCCAACGAAACACCTCAAAGTTAATCTGTATATTAATGTATATTAAACGGCGACATTAATCTGTATTAATGATGAATAATGGTAAAATCTTCACAAAATGAACCCAATTTCGCAAGATTATCTCATTTATCGGAAATTGTTATTTACAATAATTTTTAATATTGTGTAATTGCTCAATTTTGCCTTTGCTTTTTATGGTTTTGTTATTGCTTGGGTCAGCGGCGTAGCCACGGGGGCGGTTTTGGGGGTTAAACCCCCCCCCCCCCCCACTTGATCATATAATATGATTATGAACCCTTATGGTAATGAAATAATAGCAATCTCATAACTCATAGCGTAACAACTAGAGTTTTTATAATTTTCTTTAAAATGATTAGTTCTACGACAAAAATGCAAGAAACTTTTTTGTTTAAAATGAAATGTTTATCAATAATTTTTAAAGAAAGTCTAATTAAAGTTTAATTTAAGTTTTTAAAGAAAGTCTAATATCGCAAACGGTTTTTCAAATTTATGAAAAAAACCTAAATGAAAATAAAACTTTACAACCCCTGTATATCGAAAACCGTATAAACATACCTTTATATGAACTTTTCGACTCAAAAATAGCCCAAGAATCACCCGTTAAAATAAGTGCATTGCATTAATTAACACCCCGTATATGTAGTTTTTTTCAATTTCAAAATCCAACCCCCGCCCCTCATGAATTTTCTGGCTACGCTACTGGCTCGTGTTAATATAAAGTGTAAGGACGAAAGCGCATGAATTTAAATCTAACAGGATAAGATACACAGTTAATTTGAAAAAATAATTAATTTGGAAAAGATACAGTTAATTTGAGCAGCCTCATGCTAACAATGAGTATTTGAATTATTTTAATTTATATTGAAAAATGTATTAAAAATATTCGAGATTAGAGATTAATATTATCCTTACCTTCGTGATATTTTCCGTTCACAATGATGTGAAAATTTCCTTGTCTAAAACATTTTTAAAATTTTCATAAAAATCGTAAAAATAATTAAAGAAATGTACTTACGAACTCATATTAAGATGATTATTAAACGACATGCTGTTTGTGCTCATGCTCACAAAGTAGCATTACTTATGTATGTATCTACATCGACCTATTCGCAAGAATGAATAAATTTTATTAATTTTAATATTGTGGTATCGGAAGTATTGCGCTATAATTAGTACTGTTGTAGGCACCACAGAGTTGGCCTCTAAATTGTAGGGAATATATCAAAAATATATTTATTTAAATATTACAACCTTTGTAAAAGTCGATAATGCAATTTAACGACAATGTTTAAATGCCAATTGCTTTAATGTTATAAAAATTATTTATTTACTTAGGTAAAAATATCGTTCGAATGGAAATGACTGCGATTTGACAAAAGTTAGTAATAGTAATGTTATCAAATTTGCAAAATGGGTAAGTGCAAATATATTGGCTATATGGTCTATTCTATAAGTTGAATAAAGAATGATTATTAAAATAACAGTGGTTAGAGTGAAAACGTTGCAATCCCCCCACACAATATTAAAACTCTGTTTTTTCCTTTATATGAAACTAATAAACTTGAAGAAAAGTTTATATCAATGTATGTCCTACACCTCTTACTTTTCGAGCTACAGCTACTATAATTTTCTTATTACTCCAGATATTTTTATTAAATTTCGAACGTGGACGTCACTGGTAATAGTAGAAAATTAAATTTTATCCCTAAAAAAAGTATTTCCATGCATAGTGGGCGTCTACCAAATTTCAACAAAATATCAAAAGCAGTCTAATGAACTTGATGGGAAAAAAGAGTTTTGGTTTTTATTTTTTACTCGAAGATGGAGCGTCGGACGAAAGTAAGTCGCCTGACCGAATATGCTACAAAATAAATGAGGATTTTAAAAATATTTTAGTTTTTAGAAAAAGCAATGGCGAACCTTTTCTTTAAAAAAATCAGTTCAAACCCCGTACGGACGTCACTGGTGCAAATTTTAAAAAATCTTGTGCCTCAAAAAATGCTCCTTAATAATTAGTGGTGTGTACAAAATTTCATAAAAATATCTGGAGTACTAAGAAAATTATGATAGAAAAGTTTTTTTTTCTAAAACTGTAACAACCTGTAGCTCGAAAACAAAGAGGTTTTGGACATATGGATATAAACTTTTCTTTTAAAATCATGCAAAAATTCACATCCTGAAGTATCGGCATTCAACTAATTAACACCCTATACATATTGCACACTAATGAATTAAAATGCAAAATTTTGCTGTCAAAATTTTTTTTTATTTTTTGAACTCATCAATTTTTCCAGTAAATCCATCATTTCGCTTTTCACATTCATTTCCAGTAACTCGGTATAAGTTTTATGTCTCTTATTACTAATTATATTAGAATAACATTATAGACTCCTTTGAATTTCGCGGGAGTCAATAAACCATAGTGACAGGTGTCATTAGAATGTCTTAAAACCTAGTTAGTACAAGGCCAATGAAAAAAGATCACAATCAACCACAAAACATGAAGTGCTTGTGCCTTTGGGGCTTGGAATGTCAGAATTTATACTACCAACGTACACTTTCTGGAGGTTTTTCGAAAGATTTATCAAAATTTCGTTATTTTGATTTTGTTTTATTTACGCTTTTCTGCGTGTGAAGAATAAGGATGCACACTTCTGGCGAAACGGAATGCCTACTTGTTGATTTAACAACAAAGACGGAAGAAATAGTAGATGACCGAAACCGTAACAATAAGCAAAATTCGTATGAGTACTTAATAAGTGAGTATACATAAGTTTACATTAAGTAAATTTACGAATAGATGAGCACCACAAAATCATTAACATTAAATTAGCGAACTGTTATCAGTAGCAAAATATTAAAGATTTGTTTTTTGTAGTGGACCCTTCGTCTATCTTCTACACACCTCCAAACAGTAAACTATTACTATTAAAAAAGAACAATAAGTTTTATAAAATTGTGTTACCTCATAATGTGATACCCAGCAGCGACTTCCAACAGGGGTCTGTAATAATCAACATACCGGAAGCCGGACCACTGGTCATAAAATTAGATCCTAATGCGAAGAAACAAACACCTGTAGAATCTGATGTTATGGAACCCTTTTCGCTCGACTTTGATAGCATTAACACTACAAACAAGGAAGAAAGAACAGCCAAAGAGTGCAACAAGTTAGTAAAACAGGTGTGTATATATTCGAGTGTGATTAAACTATTATAGTGAACGAATAGATAGCTTATTTTAAGGATGCCACTTCAGGGTATTTTTAAGATTTAAATTTGGCTTCATCAATTGATTTGAATCTTTTTTTATACCTAATTTAGAGACTCCAAGCAATGATATCTCTTATTTTTAATTTCGCCTACTTAATTATGTATTTAAGGAAATTGAAATAAAAAACTGCCATTTATTTGCAATGCTTTTTAAATGGCAAAATGTAATTCTAGTAAAACTCCAGTTTCATTGAACAAATGTGTGAATAATTTTAGTAGGACGAAGAATACTTATTACCGAACGATGTCTCCTTATTTATATTGATCCACAGGCTGTATTCAATTGAAATAAAACTAATTATACACTGTTGGAAATTAAATTTCGCATAATAGGGAAATCAATGTTAAATTCTTAGCCGGCTAAAATACAGTCTACCAGTATACATTTCAATAGAACGTCGCGATGAATTCTAATAAATTTAATTGTTCTACTGGATCGCACGCCGCGATTTGTAGAGGTACAAAGTTATTTGTGTTAGGTATGAGGTACAAAATTATTTAGAAACTACAATTAATAGGTTTTGTGGGGATATTTCAAAAAAATGTGTGTATCGGTAGGTACAGTTTTGAAATAGCAACAAATCTTGTTAAAATAAGGAAAAATAAGGAAAAAATAATTCAATTTTCTTAAAATTACACCTCAGCTCAGTAATATGAGATGACATATGTATGACAGGTTTGGCTATTGTTTAGCAGAAAGCGGTGGACTATTTTTTAGAGTTCTTTTATTTTCTATTTTAAAATAATCTTTAAGTTTATTGTTGGAGTATTCTTTTTATTTTCTTAGATTTTACTTTCTTTTTCAAGCCATTGTAGCAAAAAGACATATCTACATAATTCTATTTTATTATTAGTGATAATTTTTCAATAAATTATCGTTTAAAAATTCTCAATTCTTTGTAATCGACTCGACGTTCACCCATCCGAACCCGTTTTGATACTGTCGAAGTGTCGAAACCGTCGAAATTATTTGATTTTTAATCTAACCAAGCCAAAGCGCGGTGTGAAGTCCAGTAGAACAATTAAATTTATTAGAATTGATCGCGACGTTCTATTGAAATGTACACTGGTAGATTGGATTTCAGCCGGCTAAGAATTTAACATTGATTTCCCTATTATGCGCGAAAAATTTTCCAACACGGTATAAAGTATTTTAGCAAATGATGATGATAGATATGATAGATAATTTGCCTTTTTTTAAAGTGCAGATAAGGTATTTCCAGTGCTCCGTAATACTTTACTAACATTTTCATGGCTATTTGTAAAACCCTATTTTTATCTTTTCAAATTGCAGGGAAAAGAATTGAATTTAAAAAAATTTGAAAAGGATTTCTTATTTTGCATTGTTGTTCATTTGATGTTATGTCGAGTCAGTCCAGTGTAATCAACCATGGAGCATCTACTCAAACTATTCTCATCCCATCTACTAGCTGTGAAAAAAAATTACCAAAATTTTAAACGCTTGGGATTAATTCTGTAATATCCCACAAATAATGAATTTGATGGCGTGCTGAGGCGGCCTTAACCCCTTAACTATAACTGTATGTATTCTAGAACAGATTTTTTTTTGTTTCAGAGAATGCCTTTAGGAAAACAATCCAAAGATAGCACCAAAGTTTCCAGATCGGCAAACAGGGACGTTTCGTTTCATGGGTTCTCCGAGAGAGATTGTGTTAACTCTATAGCGCGCTTTCTTGAATTAAGAGTAATTTTAAAGAACCAACAGCTCTTAATAAAATCCGCTTTGGCTAAAAAACAACAAATAGTAAAACGTAATGAACCCATTTTGAAAGAAATAATCAACCAGAATTCGTCGAATAATTGCAAACAAATAAGGCAGTCGATAAGTGCAAATAACAAAAACCTCATACCCACCATACCAATTACAAAGTGTGATAGTAGATTTAATAAGCATTTGATAAAGCATTGCAAGGTAACGATAAATCGATCTAAGGATTTAGATGATAGACTAAAGAAGATGTCTAAATTACTTAAAAATGGTCAAAATGGGAAGAGAAAAAGTACCTAAAGTGTCATTATTAATTAAATTGTTATCTGATAGGCTAAGGTTTTCATTATAGTTTGTAAGAAATCATGTTCTTGTTATCCAGTAAAAGACATTGAGAACACAACGAGACCTATAATGTAAGTATTAAATAAAAAAATGCTAGAATGTAAGATTTACGGTTAATGTTGGCTTTTTTTAAATGTTGAATCTCAGCATGAGAATTGTTTTTTTTTTTGTTTTTTTTTATCTGCAAACTTTTATTTAAGTTTGAAGTATATTTTATTTTCTGTATTCTTATTGTTAAACTAGTATAAGTTTTGTTTTTTTTAATACAGTAATTTTTCAACAAATTCATACATTTAATTTCATATGTTTCTTTGTTGGAACTTTAATCTTAAGTCCTAATTTTTCTTCCACTTCAATCCAACTTTTCAGGGCTATTTCCTCTGCTTTTTCCCTACCTTCCTCTAACACATCTACTAAGTATTGAGGATTTTCCAAGTAGTTTGAAATCTTGCTTTGTATAGGTTTTAAATATTCAACCACAGCCTCTGCTACAACTAGCTTGTATCTACAATCAAAGAATTTAAAATTGTTATATTAAAGAATTAGGATAACTTACTTTCCTGTATCCAGATTTTTAGCCTCTCGACAAATATCAGCTACAGATTTATTAGTTACAAACGAGTGTATATTTATTAAATTAGACACACCAGGTCTCTTATCAGGATCATAAGTTACCTATAAAATATTAGCAAATCATTAAAGAAGGACCTTTTAGTTTATTAATTATTACTAAGGACCTTATAAGAAAGGGCTAGGTGCCCTCCTTAACAAAGGACCATAGACAAAATAAAATCCATAGAGAAAGAAAGATTTATTTTGTCTATGATAAAATCTTTCTTTCTCTATGCAAAGGACTACTGAAATTGCACAAAACTGAACGTATTACCGTAAAGATCGAGGACACGAAAGCAACTTTTGACGTTACTGACATTTGACATTGACACAACTTCAGCAAAACAAACAGGTTAAGTTAATGTTAATAAAAACTTTCGTTATTGTAACATTTAAATTCTGTTAAACTATTCATGTAAACTTAAAAACATTAGTACTTACTTCCGAAGTGAAATCAGTGACAGCTTTCTTAATATTCCGTACAATATCATCAGGCTTATCGGTCACGCAAATCCTGCTCTTCGGATCCGGATCAGATTTGGACATTTTCTTGTTGGGATCCCTTAAACTTCTCAATCTCGCGAATTCGCTACCTGCAATTATGTCCGAATACGATAAGGTGCGCGTTGGTAAATTGGTTTTGAAAGGAGAGAAGCACAAATCGAAGAAAAGGAAGCACAAACCCAAGACGGAAGAAACGGAAGCCCCGAAAATAGACGAAGACTGCAACAAGCACGGCAACTGGTGGAAGGTTTCTAAGATAGAGCAAATAGTAGGCCCGATAGCCGTAGAATTCGGATCCCACACTTACATAAAGGCTTTAGATAATGGTTTATTTACATTAGGAGCGCCCCATAAAGATGGACAAGGTCCTTCGCCCGAAGAAATCCTTACAGCTGTACCCGTAAACGAGAGAAAAGTGGCTTTCAAATCAGGTTATAATAAGTACCTAAGAGTAGAAAAAAACGGTACTGTAACCGGTCGTAGCGATGCTATTGGGGCCATGGAACAATGGGAACCGGTCTTTCAAGATGGAAAAACGGCTCTAATAGGCTACAATGACTGCTTTATCGGCTTTAGCGAGGACGATACTATTGTAGCTAATGCTAAGAAAGCAGGATCCGATGAATACATTACGTTAAGATCCCAAACGGTAAAGGAAGAAACTACCCTAACGGAGGCCGTAAGCGACGAGCAAGGAAACGTAAAACAAATCGAAATCAACTACATCAAGAAATTCCAAAAGTTCCAGGACAAAAAAATGCGAATATGCAAAGAGAGTACTAGTAATTTGAAGAAGGCCCAAGAAGAAGGAATCTTACACGAAACTCTATTAGATAGAAGAAGTAAGATGAAAGCGGATAGATATTGCAAATGATTTCGGAATTTACAGTAGATTATTCATACCTGTAATAACAGTCTGAGGAATTGGAAATGTTTCACCAAATCTCTTATTAAACATTCTTGCTAAATCTTGACATAATTGGATTTGTTGAACTTGATCTTCACCTACCGGTACATGTGTAGCTCTATAAAAATCAACATGTATTTTTGTAATAACTAATCATTTAACTTACTTGTAAGCTAACACATCTGCAGCCTGTAATACAGGATAAATAAATAAACCTAGAGGAATATCTTTCAAGTCTTTTGATTTTTCCTTGTATTGAGGTAAATGAGACAATCTGTAAATGAAAATAAATATTTATAAATAATATAGTTGTAATATAATATTAAAAACGAACCTTGGCATTGTGCAAATACATCCTAAACACCAAGATAATTGTGTATGAACAGCAACTGTGGACTGTTGAAATAATATTGTTTTACGTGGATCAATTCCACACCCTAACAAAGTAGCTGCTATTTCCTGAATATTCTTTGACAACTCTTTGGGGTCCTAAAACTGTACTCAATATATTATCATTCATAATACCATTTAACATAATTACGTGTGGTGGTACAGTCATCGAATGCAGATCTGCTATACTAACGATTACATCTTGTCCTTGCTCTTGAAATTTTACCCACTGTGCAATTGCACCTAAATAATTACCTAAATGTATACTGCCAGTGGGCTGAATACCTGAAAATATTCTTTTACGAACTACATTTTCTACTTCAATTACCTAAAAATAAACTCCATTGAATTCATTACGTGACTGCGAAGGAAATTGTTACTTTTGAAGTCGAATAATATTTATAACACAGTTTTGGTATCGTTTTACTTTTAAGCCACTGTTTCATTTTAATAAACAATTAAAAGACAATTATTTTAATTTAACCTCTAATTTTCAAAAATATGAACCGAAACCTGAATAGATAGAGACATTAAGGGAACATGGATAAATGGAACTTGTTACTTTTGAAGTCGTATAATATTTATAACACAGTTTTGGTATTGTTTTACTTTTAAGCCACTGTTTCATTTTAATAAACAATAAAATAACAATTATTTTAATTTAACCTGTAATTTTCAAAAAATTGAACCGAAACCCGAATAGATAGAGGCATCAAAAGAGTAGAGATTCTCTACTGACACTATAGACAGCTGTCAAAGGCCGCACGCAGTATCGCCATCTAGGAGATTTACTTGACGTTATTTCTTTTTATTTCTATAATAGCAAGTCGGTGAGTGTTTTGTAAATTATATTTTTAAAATGCATGAATTTACGCCATTAATTTATAAAAATATGAATGAAATTAAATTAAATATGTGTGTAGAGACCAGATTTATTAAAAACCTCAATCGAATGTGTGCAATATTGTGGGATGAAATAGGATTTTAAAATTATATTTTGACAGCTAACATGGTTATGTGTTTTAGGTATGGCAGACGCAGTGGCTAAAAAACCGAAGGCTGAGAAAAAGGCCGTGAAGGAAGGTGCTCCTGCAAGTGATAAGCCTTCTATCAAAAAACGCCCATTAAAAAGGCACGGCCGCTTATATGCCAAAGCCATTTTCACCGGTTACAAAAGGGGTCTCCGTAACCAACGTGAAAACACCGCTTTATTAAATGTGGAGGGCACCTCGTCGAAATCTGATAGCTGGTTTTACGTAGGAAAGAAGTGTGTTTACGTTTACAAAGCTAAAAACAAGACGTGCGTTCCTGGCAAGCCCAAATCCGTGAAATCGAAAGTTAGGGCTATCTGGGGCAAAGTTACCAGGCCACATGGTACTCGCGGAGCCGTAAGAGCGAAGTTTAAGAGAAATCTGCCTGCCAAGGCTATGGGACACCGTATTCGCATTGTAAGTATTGCATTTATTTTTTAAACAATAAATATTTAGAATATTTAGAAAATTCAATTGAAACTCTTCATAAAAGTTACACTTATAGTTACTATTTCTATTAAAACTTTCATGATGCTTTTAGACATTTGAAACCTGAATTAAATTCATGTTGAAAAAAATTAACTGATATTTTTTTTAATTTACTAAAATTAAGTGTTCTTGGTGTTAAAATTATTGATTTATTTTTTTTCTTTTTCAGATGTTGTATCCATCTAAAATATAAGTTATAAGGCATAAGAAAAATATGTAAATTTGTTTTTTCAATAAAACAGTTATTGAACTTTTGGTGATTGATTAATTTACAAAACCCTTTTTGTTTGTAAATTCCTATGAGTATTGAAATTTAAACGAACGAGGGAATTACTTATAAAGTATTTATTTTAAATAATAAAAATATTTACAGTGTATGACGATCTATGAATTCAGTCCATTTTTATACATTTTATACATCTTTATAAAGTATCAAATCTGTCTAGTGCAATTCAGGTACAAAAAACTACTCGATAAACAAACTTAAAAAATAAATTAAAAGCAACATTTGTAGTTAAAAATTGACCTAAATTTGCACGTTTTCGCTCATCCAAGAACATTTTTGTATAATGAACAAAAAATGCCGTTAATGGGTGTACACTCATTTGAAGTGTATTTACTAATTAAAGTGGAATTTAAATTGGAACGGGCTTCCATGGAAATTTTGGAAATGATGGAAGTTTGGCATTCCCCCTCTACCCGATTCTGGATCTAAAGGATCTTCACCATTATCGAACTGCCTCCTTTTCTCCTCGTCCGTTAACACCTATAAACATACAAAAATGAATTAGAATCAATAATAAACGAGTATGGGGATTAACCCACCTCTTTAGCAGCAGCGATATCAATGAACTTCTTTTCTGCAATCTTCTTCATTTTCTCATCGTTTTGATAATTATCCGGATGCCATTTCTGAGCCATCTTCCTGTACGCTTTCGTGATTTCTCGTTTACTGGCCGACCGTTTCACTTCCAAAATCTTGTAATAGTCTCTTTTCTCTGCCTGCTTCTGCCTGTTTTCAGCTTTACTTAATCCCTCCTTCGCTCTATCGAAATGGGAATTTATCTCCAACGCAGACTTGTAATCCCTAATCGCGTCATCGTACATCTCAGAATTCAAATACGCCTCGGCTCTGTCGCAATAAACATTTGGATCTTCATTGTAGGTTAGAGCCTCTGAGCATGCGGTAATAGCTTCAGAACTTTGCTCGTCCAGCGAGTAACAGCTGCACAACAAGCGTTTAGCTTCGTATATTATACTTTGCGCGTCTGCTTCGTTTTTGAGTACTTTATTGGCGTAATCTATGCATTGAGAATACTCCTTGCTTTCTATAGAGGCTTCAGCTTCTGACAGGAATTTTTCGATCTTCTTGATTTTCTTGTAAAATGGAAAGCAATCCTGAAATGAAGAATATTAAAAGAGAAACTTTTTAGGATTGAATTAACGTACTTTATGCTCAGGATCTAATTTTAAACATTCCCTGATGGCCTTCAAGGATTCTGTGGCTTGGCCTGCTTTATATAAAAGCATTGATAGTTTATAATAACCGTCCATGTTATCGCTTTGTAGCTTAGTGGTTGATCTGATGTCTGAAATAGCGGACATTTCATCTCCATTCAACATGTGAAGTTCTGCGCGAAACTCGTACAAATCAGAAGCCCATGGACTGATTTCAATTAGCTCAGAAAGATAATGAATAGCTGATGCATAATTGTCTTGTGCGTAATAGTATTCAGCCAATCGTTTCTTTTCTTTAGCAGGCTCTATGAGTTGAATGTATTCGTTTGCTTTAGCGTTATGAGGATCAGATTTTAGCTGAAAAAAAATACAATTTAAAATTTCAATGAATAATTCAATGGTGTTTAAGATCCATAAAAATGGTCAAGGATATAATTAATAGAATTAAATTAACATTAAATATAACAATAAAAATTATTTCAATATACAAACTAATAATTAACTTATTAGAAAAAAATCACAACATGTACAATGTCTATTTGTTAATGATTAATGCATATCTTAAATTGATAACAAAATATCGCTGAAGTATATACCATATGGAAGATATTAATATCTAACAAATAAGAAAAAATAACAGTTTTTTGCTTTTACTCACCACATTGTAAAAATCAAGCTGTGCTAAATCAAAATTTGCTTGCTGCAAATGAATGCTTCCTCGGCTCAATCGAGCAGCGGAGAAATCAGGTTTCAATTCAATGACTTTATCGAAATCACTTAGAGCGTTCTTGGCCTTGCGCAACGCAAGGTATGCGGTTCCTCTTTTAAAGTACGTTAAATAATTATTAGGATCGGCCTCTGAAAATCAACTAGATGATTGCCAACAGAACGAATTAGAGAGTAGATTATCCATACCTAGAGCCAAATGGAATTGGCTTAAAGCGTCCCCTAACTGGCCTCGCGCTAAATACTGTGTGCCTAATTCTAAATGCTTATCTATTTCACCCTGTGTCATACATTCTGAAACTACAAAATAAGGAATATTATTAAATTGTCTCAAGAGATATTGTAGGTTAGCTCACCATCTAAAAATAATTCGAATGCTAGAAGGACTAGATATGGCGTAGTTTTAAGAAAAAAACTCTTATTTATATTATCAAAACTGCTCAACATTTTGAATATTTTACAGCACTATTTTATCTTTAACTAACTACACAAAATATACTCATAATACAAATAATCTTTAACACGACATTTATTATGACTGTCACTGTCAAAGTTAAATCGTGGGTTACTCTCATTGGCCGGCATGAACATTTCTGCATATTCTGCAATGGGGGGAGGAATTAATATCGTTTTCTTTGTTTCACTAGAGCTATCAAACGCTTACTATCTCTTTCTATGTTACAGGTCACACGTGAATTTTTTTTAATTTATGATTTGGTTGATAATATTGATGATAGCAGTATTTTAAAATTGAATAACAATTTAATTAAGCAATTCATATTAATATTTTCGCTTATAAAAAGTAAAATTCGAGAAATAAGATTGGCGAAATAATCCTCATTTCTTTTCTCAAAAGAAAGAAGAAGAAACTTTGACATTGACAGGTATTAAAACTTCAAATTAAAAAAATACAGAAAATAAAATTGCAAAGATTAATACGTTTACATTTGATAAGCAGATTTTTACTCTATTTATTTTAGTTTTAAATTGAAATGCTTTAATCCAGTGCTATACTTATATTCGTATAAAGTTTTAGCCCACATCAGAAAATTCGGTAGTCAATCATTAATAATGGAAAACATATGTAACGTGGTGGTTAAACCCTTAGAAAAGTCTATTTATTTAAAACCTCACACGATGCATTTTGTACAAAACGGTACAAAAAGAACCTGGGATTTACTAACAGTGCATGACAGTGTAGCCATAATTATTTACAACGTAACAAGGAAAGTGTTAGTACTCGTTAAACAGTTTCGGCCTGCTGTATATTTTGGAGCCATTCCAGAACATGATAGGAAAATGGGTGAGGAAGTTGACACTACAAAATATCCAGCGAAAATCGGCGTTACTATTGAATTATGTGCTGGAATAGTAGACAAAGATAAATCAATTACTGAAATCGCAAAGGAAGAAGTCCTAGAAGAATGCGGCTACGATGTACCTATATCCAAATTTGAAAAAATTAATTCCTACCGCTCAGGCGTTGGAACATCCGCTAGCCTTCAAACAGCTTATTATTGTGAAGTTACTGACGATATGAAAGTCTCTGCAGGAGGTGGAGTAGAGGACGAGATAATTGATGTAGTTGAAATGAGTGTGGAGGAAGTAAAAAAGTATGTATGCCAGAATTACATTAAAAGTCCTCCTAGTTTTATGTATGGCATATATTGGTTCTTATATAACAAAGTGAAATAATGTAAATTTTATTTAGGAAAAGTAATTTTAATAAAAATATTTAATTCTTCCCTTGATTACCTTTGTCTTTGTTTCCAGTTCAAATATGTACCCATTTCCTTTACATTTTGATAAAAAATAGTTCAAGTACTTTAAATAATCAAATGATAATAATTATCTCCTTTTATACTATTCAACATATATGTAGTGATTTTTTTTTCTATTATATTTTGTTGTATGCAGTATAGTCTATCTACATTTCCAATTATACATAACCTTATGGAAAAATTACACATATATTCAACAAAATAATTTACAAAACAGTAATAAAAACATCACACATATACTGTAATTCTAATAGTAAATTTACCATTGTGGCCTTTAAGAAAAGGCCGAATACTTTAGAACCTTCGAAAGACCACAAACATAAATGTACCTTACATTTAATTTCTGTTAGGGATGAAGATTGCGCCTAGAAGTGTATTTCAATTTCTTTAATTCCTGCCTAAAATATTCAACAGTCTTTTTGAGACCCTCATTAAGGTCAACCTGAAAACAATTTTTTTTTAATTTGGCCAATTTAATACTAATAAATAAATTTAGTATCACCTTTGGTTCCCAATTTAAATACTTCTTAGCCCGCGAGATATCGGGTTTTCTTCTCTGCGGATCGTCCTCCACTTCACTAACGTGAATTATTTTGCTGTTACCTCCAACCAATGTTTTTATAATTGTTGCAAATTCTGCAAAAATCCAATAAGGGTGACGTTACTTAGCTATTAGTCATACTTGCCGTTTATTGTATGCTCTATGGGATTGCCCAAATTGACGGGTTGAGAGTAATTACAATTCATTAGAGTGACCAAACCCTCTACCAAGTCAGAAATGTACTGAAACGACCTCGTCTGATCCCCTGAGCCATAAACCTAAGTTATTAGAAAAGAAATGTGTAATATTAATTCTATATACAAGATGTGCATGAAACTTCTGTACAAATGAAATTGTAATATTAATAGGCCAAACGATGTACACATGCAATTAAAATAGAGTATAAGAGCCAGAGGCGTAGCAACCGAGGGTGCAAGGAGTGTGATGCAACGGGGCCTTGTTAAATACTTACAATTGTTATACAGGGTGTTAATTAATTGAGTGCCGATATTTCAGGATGTGAATACACCCTGTTAGTTCGAAAACTACAGGGTGTTGGAGGTTTAGGACATATATGGATATAAACTTTTCTTCTTAAAATCACCCAAATACTCACATCCTAAAGTATCGGCACTCAATTAATTAACATTCTGTATATAAGACTACTGTAATAATAAAAGGATTACGGGCCCACAAAGGTCTTGCTACGCCACTGATAAGATCAAAAGGACATAATATACAATCATTGCATTTAGTGATAAAACAATTTTTAAACAAACCTCTTATGTTTAACAAAAACTTACACTTATTACATCTTCTTGTAACGCCTGCAAAATAAAATTGGAGACAACTCTTCCATCGTTCATGTGCATCCTGGGTCCATAGGTATTGAAAATTCTAGCTACTCTTACTTGCATGTTTTCTTGTTTAGCGTATGCATAAGTTAAAGACTCGGAAACTCTTTTACCTTCATCATAGCACGCCCTTGGACCTGAAATGTACCATGAGACATTACTTATGAATAACAAATACATAGAACAACAACAAATAAAATAGTTTCTTAACTAGTTATGAGGACAAGAATTTAAACTTTCTTATGTACATTGATAAGGAATTAGTAAAACGGTATACAGGATGTCCCGCGTAAACAACACAGAGCAGGGACATGTGGAGGAGCCCAAAATATGTTGTTCAATCCATCTTAACTTAATAGAAAATAACATTCCTGAGAAGTTATAGGCATTCAAGGTGGAGTTACAAATAAAAAAAATCTCAGTAATACTCAAATTTAAAACAACTAAATTTGGTATAATTTATGAGAGGGCACTAAGAACAATAATCAATAGCATAGACTTATTGAGTTAATAGTTAATAGGTCTATGATCAATTGTATCGGTTCTTATGTGGGACACCCTGTATATTATATTTTTTAATCAGTACAAAAATATGACACTACTGCAAATATTTGTGTTAATCATGATTAAATAAACACTGCAAATTCTAATTACACTTAAAATAAAAATATTTTCTAAACTTACCTATAGGATTAACATGACCCCAATAAGTCTCAGGTTGAGGGTGAATATCTGGATCTCCATAAACTTCCGAAGTACTAGCTATTAGTACCTTAGCATTAAGTCTTCTTGCGAGACCTAAATACAAAAATTATATTATTTTACAACACATCTCACCATGCGAAAGTCTTACCTAATACATTAATAGTACCCAAAGTATTTGTTTTAATGGTTTTAACGGGGTTATGCATGTAGTGTGGGGGACTCGCAGGGCTAGCTAAATGATAAATTTCATCTACTTCAATGTATAAGGGATTAACGATATCATGGTGGATGAGTTCAAAATTTTCATGTCCCAGCCATTGTTCCACGTTGAGCTTTCTGCCAGTGTAAAAGTTGTCAACAACAATAACTTCATGGCCTTGAAGCATTAATTTATCCACTAAATGAGATCCCACGAAACCGGCACCGCCAGTAATCTGTGATAAAAACATCCATTAATTTAAAACCAGTTGTTATTAAAAAAAAAACTACGTACCAATATTCTTTTTCTTTGAAGATAATTTAGGAAATTTACTTCTGGATAAGTTTTGGGCACCCTTTCTTCTAACGATATAATTTTTTCTTCCAATGCTTCAATCTTTTGAAATGCATCATCTAACAAGTGTGTAGCGTGTTTCACATCTTCAGGAAAGCTTCGAATTGCTTTATCATTATCTAAATTATGTACTTCCACTTGGTGTAACCAGTTTAATAAAATTAGTAATACTAAAAGAACATTAATTAAACAAAATGAACACAATTCAATCTAATTTTAACTAACCTATTAGACATATACCTAGAAATAATGCTATGTGTTTAAATCTAGGGGTTATTAGAGTCATTTTGTGATCATTGTTAAAATGAATAACATTGTTTTTTTCTTATAAAAATATATGTTTGTTAAAATCCTTATCTTTTATCTTTTCTAATCCTATCGTTTCTAACTTTACACCACTTAACCTCTACTAAATTTAATTGACATTTACCATATGTTTATGACATTTCTAACTTGAAAATTTCATTCTTAGGTCTTGTTCTTAGGCGTTATTCTACTAATAAAAACATTATTAACTAAAAAGAAGAATATATTTAATTGGCAGATGTCAAATTGATTAGGTTCTGTCATCTGTCATGTTTGTCAAATTTGTCTATGTAGTGATATTGCGATGAAGTGTTTATATTTGTTATTGAAAAAAAATTGGTTTTAATATGTTTTATAGATTTGATCTCTGCTAATTGACTATTATCGACAAAGGATTCGTAAACCTAAATGTAATTCTGGTAAGAACAACTGTTAAAATCATTTTGTATATATTTTTAATAATCTACACCATCAAGGTTGTATGCATGACAAATAAGTTGGTGTTTTGATTCAACTATCTAAATTATTGATAATTCTCATTTCTGAAGAAATTTTGATGTTCTTTTCGATTACAAGCTAACATTTCCGTATTTTCAGTTTTATTATAGCTCCGTACCCCAAGGTAACACTAGATGTACCATGTGATTGTGCCTAAACAGTTAATAGAGTAATTAAGTACTTTTTTAATAAATATGATCTACAAGTGCTTGTTGGGATTGATCTTTGCTTCACTGTTGGATAAAGGCGATGCCGAAATATATGCAATTAAATTCGTAAGTATGAATAATAATTTTCTTTCGGGTAAATACAATCATTGTTTTTTTTTCCTCATGTGATCAACAAATTGTAGTTTAATTGACTTGGTTCTTTGTAAAAATTGTTTATTATTCTTTAAGAGAATGAGTTAAATTTAATAATAACAAAAATAATAAGATTTAGTCTTTATTAATCGTTCAGAACATAAGATTTATGGTTTTTGTTATTACAACATTGAGATAAAGTTTATTTTTACACGGCTATTCTTCTTATAGTTGTTTTGTTTGCAACTTATGATTAACGCGAATAAATGTAAATTAGTAAATTAGTTCAGTATTTGCGTTTCTTACCTCTCAAAATATTACAAAATGCTTGTCATTAGCCAGTAATGTCTTATACAACATCCTTTGCAAAGTTCATCTTTGTTTATTTATCATTTGAAATATAAACTAATTTTTAGACTCTCTGATAAGATATGGAGATTTGTAATTCTGTAGAAAATGTAATAAAATGCAATGTTAGATTATGTACGTTATTAAAAACTACTGCATTTTTTCATATCTTGTGCAGATATTGTGTTTGTAATCTATTAAATGATGTGCTCATGTATCTAATTTAACTGAATCAAAGTTACATTATACCATAATTACATTATTTAAATAATAATTAAACAATTAGTTATTTATAGATTTGATAGTAAAGAGATAATTAAGAACGCATATAAAATTGGAACCTATTTAAAGGCGTAATTTAACTTCTCTAATTTGATTTAATGCACTGCATAAATCGGTATTACGTTTCGTTTTTGCATCATTTTATTACGATTATAATAATATTGCAGCATAGTTGTAATGCATATCATTTTTATTCTAGAATTCTCAATTTTATCGAGAGGAATTTGCAGATAAGCCGGCTCTGTTTGGACCCAGTTTAAAGGATCGAGGTACACGACAATCATTTTTCAGTTTCTTGCACGTTTCTTATTATAATTAGGTTTCATTTTTCTCTTATGTTACTGTTTTCTCAGCTCTGGCCGGCATGCTGATGGAGGCGAATCCTCCGGGAGCCTGCAGGGTTATCGCCTCGCCTCCTCCCATAGACAACCCAGTGGGCAAATGGATAGTGCTGGTGAGACGGTTGAGCAAGGACCAGGACGACGGCAATTGCTCGTTCGAGCAAAAGGTCCGCATATCGCAAGCGGCTCGTTTCGATGCCGTGATAGTTTACAATGTCGATTCCGACGAGCTCGTCCCCATGGGCGCCAACAACAAAACCGGCATTGAAATACCGTCGGTTTTCATCTCCGAAAAATCCGGTATAGAATTACTGAACAAATACGCGAACAACCCGGACTTTTTCGTCGTCATCAACGGAGACGCTCCCTTCGATATACCCACTCACTTGCTAGTGCCATTTGCTATCGTTGTCGGTATATGTTTTATAGTTATGATTGTTTTTATGGTAAGTTCGTATGCACGAGACTTTCTAATATGTACATATACTAATTGGTAATATTGGTTGTAGGTATGGAAATTTCTGAAAGACAGAAGGAGACAGAGACGATACAGGCTACCGAAGGCAGTGCTAAACAAAATTCCCATTCACAAATTCCAAAAGGGCGATCCGTTCGAAACGTGCGCCATTTGCATCGATGACTATGTAGACGGCGAGAAGCTCAGAGTTCTTCCTTGCAATCACGGTAAGGCTTTCTATACCTCCTCTAGAGGCGTTTTATACCGCTTTCTCGGCATTTCTAGCCTATCACGCCAAGTGCGTGGACCCGTGGTTGACGAAAAACAAGCGCGTTTGTCCGATTTGCAAGCGAAGCATTTGGGGAATAAACGAGACGCGATCGGACTCCGATAGCGAAACCGATACTGACGATACGACGCCGTTGATAAATAATAGAAGCAGCAGCGGCACTCAGGGCGGTACATTTCAACAGCAGTTCGAAAATCCATTCCAGAGGGCTATAAGGTAACGAAATTCGAGTTGGATATAATTTAAGTATGAGATTAATGGGGTGTTTTGCTAGAATCAATACCAAACAGGTATGCACTGGGTGCTGAAATTTGGTGATGTAGGAAATTTGGCGGAAATTTGGTGATAACTGAACTTATTGCTAGTCTTATAGTAAATTGAATCCATGAGAAGTTAAAGGCCATCCAATACTTTCAGAACCAAATTTGGTATACATTTTAACTGTACTATAAGTAATAGTATTAATTGATGTATTCTAAAGGAGTAAATAGGGGTGATGAATCGTTACAGATTATGAAGAATTTTATTCTAAAACTTTTCTATTATTTTTGTTTAAAAAAAATTATCGTTTTAAAGAAAAACGCTAACAATATTCAATAATAAGTTACGAAATTAGACGGCAAACTTGACAATTATGAAATACCGGTATTGATGTTTATTATTATTGCTTTTTGATTAGAGAGGTTTCATGTAGCGACAAATCGACATGCTTGAAATATTATTATTATTTTTTTCAATATTTAAAACTCCGTTTTAACTACTCAGGAGTATAACATATTATATTTAGCAAAAAACACCCTGTAAATCTAAGCTCTTCGGCTCTAGTAATCCCCTTTTCTCTAATATTATCTAATACATCTTGTGACAAAAAAGTACCCGGAAATTCTTATTTAAATTAACTGCACTTAATATTTTTAACTATTTCATGTTTCTGTATGTAAGTAACACTATTCTTAATTAGCATGCAAAAAATTAGAAAGATTTCTCAACCAGTTTGCTCAACCAGTTTGCCAGCAAATGCTTAAGGTGGCTCTATTTTATCGAAAACTCATTTTTACGAATGGTACAAAACTTTTAAAGACAGTCCAGGAGATCACTAAAGACTTGCCTTGTTCTGGACGGTCTTCGACCTCTTCAATCAATGACAACGGCGAGAAAATGAAGGAAATTGAGTTCTAAAATCATCTTGCTAATATTAGAGAAGTAGCACGTGACCTCAACATCTCCCGTTAAACCGCTCGTTTGATTTTGCTCAACCAATCAGACATGTTACGAATTGAGACTCGGCTCGTTCCGATGAGTTTCTTTAAAAAACGATATCATCAACTGATCGATGCAGACATGCTGGTTCGTGTGAAGTACCATCGACCAGCCGCCTAACTCACCAGAAATAGCCTCGTGCGACATTTTTTGCTTTCCAAACTCAAACTGCCACTCCCGGAATCCCGTTTTGAATCTATGGAGTTACCATCAAAAAAATTCGCAGAAGGAGCTAAAAGTCGTACCAGAAAGGGCATATAAAAATGTTTCGATGATTGGAAAAGGCGTCTGACTATGTGCATCGCTTCAAAAGGAGCATATTTTGAAGAACACTCAAGGAATATTAACGAAGATTAGGAATTTTGCGTTTTGTTCATTTTCCGGATATTTTTCAGTCACTGTGTACAAATATTCAATAATCCATAAGCTATAATATTTTTACGGTTTTTTTAGGTCCGTATCGCAAACTTCAGGCGCAGCTACGGCAAATTTCGTGACTACCTCCGGACATCACAGCATCAACGGCGACTACCAAAGCGCCCGGAGCAGCTCAGGCTCATACGACGACTGCTCCAACAGCGTCATATCCGAGGACGTGATGAATTCGACGAACAGCGGTAATCCGTTCGAAGAGTCGACCAGCAGCGGCAGGGCTGGAGATTTCAACGTAAAAGTCAACGTTGTCCAGGTCGATACGGTTAGTACTAATTCCAGCGTGGACGGTGGAGCTCATGCGTAACCGAACAATCGAGTAGCGTAATTGTACATTCAGTTTGTTGCTATTGATAATGATATTTAAACGAGATTACGATGAGGTATGTTTGCAGGCAATATCTCGATTGGTGTTTGATTTATTTTGTTTTAAAATTTGACGTTTCACTAATGCATCAGTATAATTGATTGCCTGGCAATCGTTTTGAAAAAGTTACAGCGATACCTTCTTTTATTTTGGATACTTTCATGAACTCCGTTTGTGTGTGATTTCTAGTCGTGTACATGATATTGGCATGTCGAAGTAAGTGTATAAGGATTAAACAAAAACTGACTTCACTTTGTGTTTTAATAATTCGATTATATTAACGCGTAAAAAAATAACAAATAAACCTATAAATTGACAAGAAGCACAAATTCAAATTCACTGTTATTAGAAATCTCGATTCGTTCACTTGGCGATTTTAAATTGAATTGTGTCGTACAAATTGCCGGTCAATTTTTGTGACCTTTGTTATATACTTGTCGTATTATTTTGGTGCTAATGATCTTGAATTTCCCGTGTACGAGTTGTGTTTGGCAAGTTATTGGACTGGTTAAAAATATATTTATTTTTTATTTAGTTTAGTCGCTTCGGTGTACCGATAAATCGTTTAATACACAACAAATATTGATTAACATTGATTATTAGTAGTAAATTTGTTTGCATTAAATTATGAGATCGTGTACCTGGTGATTAGCTAAGTTGGAGAAATAATTGTTTATAGACTTTGACAAAGTATTCAAGCAGAATGCATTAACGTGTATTACATTTACTAATTCTTTTTTAGGCTTATAATATCTAATGATGCACTATTATAACACAAAAATTATATGGTTTTCTTAAAGCTGTACATTTCTTTGCAAAATGATGAATTAGTCCAATACTTGTTAAATCAAATCGTACATTGTAAGATATATATTTTTTATTGTACGTAATTCCATATAAATTTTATCGCTAATAAGGTTATGTTGAAAAGTAAGCTTCACGGACATAACAGTAGTAAGTACAAAAACGTTACAAAAAGGTGATTGATTAAGTTATGCTGGAGTAAGTTTTGTATAAATTAGTAATATTGTTTCGTTTTATTAGTTGTATAAATAAATATAAAATATAAAAGGACTTATTTGTAACATAAGTGTAGATTTGTGATTAAAGTGTAAAATATTTTAATAAATATCAAGATTACGATTATTGTTTTGGTAAGTAGATAATTAAAGAACAATTTAATGAAAGGGTGACAAACTTGCGAAACATATATTTCGTTTAAACACACACTTGGAACAAATACATTTGAAAGATATTTCATTTAAGAAAAGGAAATTTCGTTACACCAACACTGTTGTAAAGTTGGAAATCATCGTTTCTTCTGATTTTTTTCTTTTTATTCGTCAATAACCAATTGCAAAGCATTTTCACTGTAACAAAGTAGAGCATTTCTATGATGCTCAGAAAGCTGAAACCCATGCAGAGGCTGAGCAACCCGCCCACGTTAGCTGAAACATACGTTTTATTTATTAATCCCGTGACCCGTCAAAATAGCCCAACACAAAACAGCCCCGACAAAATAGCCCAAAGATAAAATCACCCAAGGCAAAGCAATCCCAGAAGTCTGTAGTAAAGCCATGTCCCAATCTTTTAGAGACATCCTGTATAATTCGTTTAGTTTTAATCCTGATGCTTCATAAAATTACGACACCGATTTTTTAAAAATGACTCGACAAATTCATTATTTGAGATAATTCTTCTACTGTGACGTTTTTTTCCTAAGCTATTTTGCTTTTGGACTAAATATTCTATCTCGGGGGATTTTGTTTTTGGTCTATTTTGTCTTGGGCAATTTGTCTTTGGTCTATTTTGACGGAGTACAATTAATCCATCTACTTATAGCAAATTCATTTTACACCATTTTCATCCGAATTACATCAAAATATCAAAACTTACACAAAATTTCTGTAAATCCGTACAATTCAGCTTTAACTTCCTTAGTAAACTGACCGGTGGGGAAAAAGATATGTAGGATTGCCAAGTTTCTCCTATACAAAAAAAAACAATTATAAACAAGAAAATTAACGAAATAGTTATTAATTTACGTTATGTAGCTGGTGGTCACGTTCCAATCTTCCTTTTCAGAATAATTTAGAACGGGTAATAGTCCTCCAAAGGACTTACTCTCTAAGTACACCAACTCGTAACAAGCTGGTATGCAATCGCAAGTGATGCTGCGTACAACATTGATATATGTAGTTAAAATAATTAGTACGAAAGATAGTAGTGATTTAAAATTATTTACCCCATTCCTGTGATGGACTCCATGTCGAATTTGGCTCCTTGGTAACATTCCTTCTGCTTCCTGCCGCAGGTCGTTATGTTCCGGCTCCCTACGAAATTCAATTCACACATTGCAACAAATCAAACACTTGTAATAACTTAATTACTTGGTAAGAAGTACGGTATGCATTTGCATTTCTCCAACGTGTAATTCGATTGGCATTCCAAGAAGCAATTTTTTTGCGAGTAAGCTCTGAAAATGAAATCACAATTAAAAAAACCTCTTATATTATAATCCAGATAAAAATATCTGGAGTAATAAAAAAATTATGATAGAAAAGTTTTTTTTTTCTAAAACTGTAACACCTTGTAGCTCAAAAACTAAGAGGTTTAGGACATATATTGATAACTTTTCTTCTTAAAATCATCCAAATATTCATATCCTGAAGCATTGGCACTCAATTAATTAACACCCTGTATTTACTATTCGTGTTCGGTTAGCGAACCGAAAACGGATCGCTTTTAATTATCCTAATGGTTTGCTCGTTATCGATGTGACACCATTACATTTCACCTACATTCAAATACAAAACATCAAGATAAATAACAGAAAAACGTTTTGTATGCACGTTAGATTTTAATCGGCTGGTTTGAAATGTTTGTTTGGTGTTACAATAAATGGAAAATTCTTGTAACTTATTGGGACCGAGGTATTTACAAAAAAAAAATCGTAGGGTTTTGCGTTCAGTTCAAATTGAATCTATGCCGAGTAGACATTGAGATTTGTGAATGGTAATATAAAATATTAGGGAGAAGGAAGGGAACATAAGAGCAAGAGTGGAAATTGTATGTATAGATAATACTTTATACTTCTAATTTTGCTTTAAAGTTTTAAATGTTTTTTTATTTTCTAGTTTAATCGATAAAGAAGAGTTTTATTGGGAATAATTTAATAAATTGGTAGAAAATTCCAAAATTCTTTTATTTTACAGAATATGGATTGTGTAAGGTCAAGGAAGTTTGAAATCAACACGAACTTTTTTCTGTGTCTCAACACATCGTATTTATTTACGAATTTTTTTTCAAGGGTTTCAAAGTATAAGATTGCAATAAACATATTTATTTTTATTACACATGATGAGTCCACCACACTAGTATCAAGAAAAATAAGACCTATTTGTATAAAAATTAATTTGTTAAAATTAGTATGTGCGTTAAAAATAAATATTAAAAAATGTAATTGGTATGCATTAAAATATGCATCCAATGTTGCTCGATCCAATATAACCTAAGTCATATTTTGTGTACCAAATCGAGAAGTTTTTCAAATTTTAACAATCCACATACTCGTATTTTGTAACGGGAATAAATTGAAATGTTTAACCATTTACATAATCTATTAGATCGTACCAAAACAAGGTACTTAATACAAAGGAAGCCATAGCTGGAAAAGCCGTGTATTTAGTGTTAGTAATTCTGCGTAAAACTCTACCATAAATTGTAATATTACTGGTGATGAGAGAAAGACGAACAAACATAATCTAAGCAGAAATGTAAGTAAACATTTATTTTTTAATTCTTCACATTTTATGGAATAGTAATACAAAAAATCATACTGCTTGGATAAATTCCATAGTACCTAACTAAGATGGTACCTAAAAATAGTAAATTACGAACTCAGGCTTAGAGTAAAATGCGTATCAATGTAACTGTATTTTATTTAGCAATCACAAATTCGTACAAACAACAAAAGCACTATTTAATTTACCACCAATTTAAACACTTGCTGAGCCTACATACACTTCTGCTAATGTATTATAACTCTTATAGACTTTCTACTTTTACTTCAATAACTATAACCCTCTCTACTGGTTCTTCTTATTATATCTAATAGAATATACTTCCAGACATCATAAAACAATGCTCAATTTAAAAACGGGAATGGTCTCCTGAAGTAGTTGACAATTATTAATGCACTTCTCGAAACCACAGTGTATATTAATTCTACGAGACTTAGGACACTGAAACCTAGAAACACTCCCAGAAGACCGCCGGTACTAGCTAAAATTAAAAAAAATCAGAATTTTATGAACTCTCATCGAAATTTTAATACCTATCAAATCGGTGAAATCGAAGAGCCGATCTTTTATGATTTTCTCGTAATGGTTGTCGATGAAAAAGAGATGCAGGACAGTATAATCGTTGCTAAAAAGGTTTAACTATTTAAATTACAATCATTGACTATTTGAAATGGATAAGAAATAATAGATAAAAATAAAAGGATACGTACGTATCTTTTTCTGGAACGGCTTGTAAATTGAAAACCGTGTCTACAGAAGCATCCAATATTCCAGTATTAATTTTAGATGAATAAGTCAAAGAACTACATTGGCTGTAGCAAGAGCAGGACACTTTTTGACTGAAAAAAATAAATTTATTAGAAATATAAATACCAGAATTCTCATTTAACCAAAATCTTACCTATGTTTCGTTTCTTTTGATACAGTAGCTTGAAACAAAGAATCGATGGTTTACTCAAAAGAAAGTGACTTTCTCAAAGAGGGTTTAATGAATAACATTAATGATAACTTTATACAGTGTGACAATTTAAAAACTTACAATGGGCTATATCTCTCAAACGAAAGATGATAAAAAAAATGCCTGCAATCGTTTCTAAGATATGAAGGGGAAACTTAAATGCCCCACTTACCCAAACTAATAAAAAATAATAGCAAACTCCTACTTGTGATACAATGTTAAAAAGCTCTTTCAATGATAAGTGTACGTTTTTGTTAAACAAATATCTTTCGTTTGTGAGATTGTAAGTTTTCAAATAATCACATCGTATAACATTTTGCTACGTACCTTGAATATCTTCTACGCAAGGGCTGTCGTCTTGTTCACAAAACTTCATCATTGGATCTTCTAAAATAGTATTCTCTAATAAATATACTTAATTTCTAGGATTACTACGTATAAATACATAATAACAAGACATAGATTTGTGTAAATTAAAAGAAGATATGATAGAATATAAAGCATAGGTATACTTACTAGGCAAATAATACGGTACGCATCCGCAACTTTGGTATATGCGGTTACTTGCGCATTCCTGCTGGCAATTACTCTTGGAATACGTCCTGCGAAAAAAACATGATTTATTAAAAAAAGTAATTAAATTGATTAAAAATAATTATACATACTTTCCTGATAGAGTATTTGGTCTAACAACAGTACACTAATTAACAATTTCTATTATTTTTTAACATTTTTGAGTTATTAAAATTTATAAAAATCCAATCCAAGTAGATTTGATACCGATTAAATATGACAGTGGACGTAATTAAATATAATCATCTGTATGGATCTTACTTTTTTTAACCACAAGTGATGGACTTTCTTAACCTACTATTTACCTATAATAAATCAATTTTCTTTCGTTGGCGAAATAGCATTGTCTTTTATCAACTGGAACGCTTCTTAGATTTGGGGAAGCTTCGCGCACAGACGGCGTTATGGAAAATCTAGCTTCAACACCAGGACTCAATAATGCACCGTAATCAGCCATTTTAGGCGTTTCTATAGGATTACCAATAATTATCTAAAAAAATATTAAGCTTACAAATCACATCATGAGTTTATTATAGGTTTAATTAAGACATTTCTTTTTAAAAACATCCTTTCATACAAGTGTGTATTGTCCACTTACCTTAAATCCAATGCTACTGGTTGATGAACAATAATACTCATCTACTTGCGCATCTAATACAACTGAAAGTCCTAAATTGGCTCCGGCACCTACAATTATAAAACCATAATTACTTAAGCACCCCTTCAACATTAAATTATAGTTCAAAAAGAATAGAAAAAATCGAAAGAAATGCGTATTTTTACTACTGCGCATTCGACCTTAGTGTCTTCAGCTATTTCTGTCAAATTGTACGTGAGAATTAAAATTAATTTACCTAACGGTTTTTTAGGAATGTAACTGTCATTATAATCATCCGGAAAACCAGTTTCCGGAGTCCAGTCGTATACGAAGTCGGAATAGGATTGATTCAATTCCAATGAAACTTCACTTCTATAATATAACGAATTGGTAGTAGGGTATTTTATGAACATACATAGATATGGTTTCTTACGGGTTTCTAAATATATATTTCGGCGGTAGGCGATTGAAAGAGCAGCAAAGCCCTTCGTCTGTCAGATCGTTAATGAACAAATCAAGACAACTTTTACCTTGAGTCGACCATCTGCATTGTTTGAGCATATCCGAGCAGGAATTACCTACCTGCAAAATGTTGAGGGCTCAAATTTTAGTCTATAAAATTATAAAAAATTACCCTTATTAGAAAGTTACGCAAATTCGTCCAGTTATATCCCGTCGTTTCGGTCGCATTCAACGTATCGTTGCTATTGCAAATATCGTCCAACAATTTCAAATCCTTCGGATTCCTGAAGGATCACCAATTTTTAAAAAAACCTACCAATTGGAAATCTCTTTACAACTTACCCTTCTGCTTTAATTTTGACCACTTCGGTCTTCTTCGCTTGGTTCATGTTGCAAATCGTAACCGCAGGGAACGGTATCTCTTTGAGTTGAACGTCGAAGGGGCTGAAGCTTATTATAACCGGCGAGGAGTTCCACTTTTGGTATATGTTCGTGATGTAGTAAGCTGCGAAGCCGATCGCCACGCTGAAGGCGACGAACCAAAATATTCTTCCAAAAAGTAATAGCGAATTAAAGGTACTTGGTTAATGGGAGTTATTGAAGTGAAGGTACTATAATTTACTTACCGTTCGCAGAATGTTAGAGTGGTGTCTCCGACGTAGCGGAGCCCGTGCAAGGTTGTTTTCTCGCAGTACAACTCGAATTCATCTAGGACTTTTCCAGATACGCTTTTGCGATGTAAGTTCTTGGACTTGCACTTGTTCAACGTTCTTTGTGGAATATTTAAAATTGTAGATGAACAAAACGAAAAAGAAAAAATGAATTAAATTAGAAACATGAATTGGCACAAATTAAAAAAAAAAAGATTTTGCCTATTTTGTTAAAGTGACTCACCCTGTATAACCGTATGGGATGTTTACTTTAAAATCGGGCTCTTTGATTTTGAGCACTGTTGGACTGTGGTTTTTAAATTTTTGACTGTCTGAAATGCTTGCTATTTTTCTGGGACGAATAATGCTGTCCGGTTTCAACATTTTAACTAAAAATATATTTAAATAATTCTTATTTATCCACACCGAAATAGAAGTTAACACCTTAAGTATTAAGGTGGTAAGGTAACACCTTACACAACTAAGAATTACTACTCTCGGATAATTTAACTAGATTCGGTGTACTCAATTTAAAGTTAAATTAATTAAGAACTAACATATTTCCTTACCCATTTAATTACTTATATCTTAGAATATCCTCTTAGCTTCCTAAATATTTCGTCTAGTGTAATAGGTTGAAATATAGGAACGGATTCTTCGAGGGTTGAGCCAATACAAAAATTCACCTTCATCTATCAACGGAACAACACAAATCGTTTTTCTTTTTACATTGTTTTTTTCCTATTTTTCCCTATTCTATTTTTCAACTTTAATTATGGCAAAGTGTAGGTCTGTGTATCGCGTGATGTTGCTTGTTTTATACGAATTGTATTTAATCGTAATGTAATCAAATTCGTCTATCACAAGGGTATATGTCGGATAGGTTATTTGAGTTGCGTTAGTTGACAGTGAAATCGTTGGCTTATTGCTTACTTTAGAAGTCTAATTACTCTTCGTGCGACAGGGATGGACTTTAATAAGAAATTTTTCATCCTATATTAAGTACAAAGGTAAATTATTTATACAATTTAAGCATATAATTAGTACTGTATTTAAAGAAGGAGAAATTCAACTTTGTTAAAATATATTTTATAATGTTTAGTTAATGAATTTGAAGGTTTAACTTTTATTTTTTAATCTATGAGAACATTTAATTTTTCTCGTTAAAAAATAATTCTCAAGTACGGTCCTACATGGACCGATTAAAGCTTCACGTAATTTAAAGCAAACACGTCCGAACCGCACGTAATTTGTGTCACTTTAAGCGAAAAAATTTTCGTAATCGAAGTCGCATCAATTAGACCAGATAAGGGTTAAAAAGCTGTCGCTCGTTATTTATGAGTTTACTTTTTGGGTTAAAATAACAAATCGACTTTTCCTTTTAAATGGAAAACTCGTCACGATTCCAAACGTTTCCACGCGATCGACCTTATAGCTGTTATTCAAATTAATTAACCGATGATTTTTTTACTCCGAATTATTAAAGCTATTATTATTTTCGTTCAGATTCTGGGTAGGTATACGTCCTACTTTTATCCAAGTATGGGTTTTAATATTTTAATTGCACAACTATTTATCATTAATATTTACAATTTAATTTTTGTTTGTGGTTTCATAAACTCCCCGTGGCTAAATTTCGCTTGTAATTTTAGCCATTAAACCGCGTCGAATATTAAGATTAATTACGACGATAGAACGATATCATAAACATCGCCGTAACGGGGCGCGACGATATTTTATTCATTCGAAAATTAAGAAAAGGTGTAAAATACACCCGTGACACTTATTACAATGCGCCCCCGACGTTGCTCTTTCGCCATTTCGCAACAAGTAAAACACATTTTCTTAATTAAAATACATAACAGGAATGCCTTGCAACTAAATTTAATAAACAACTTCGGGGAGCAGATCCTCGCGTTAAGAGGAATCGTTCGTATTCTATACAAATTTTTATAACAGTCGAAAATTTGTAAAATTAAGATTGTAATTATACCTACTTACTCTTGAATTTTAATAGTAAAATTATTGGAAAATAATTCTAGTTTTTTCAGAAGAAGAGGTAATAATATAAATAAGTTTATTAGAATGTTATCCATAATTTTCATGAGGAATCATCTAATTAATTTTTGTCTAATTTCTAACAAATGTAGGTGGATAATAAAAATTCAACTAGCTGTAAAAGGTGGCAATATTTTTAGACAAAAAGATGTCATATTTTTAACCGGGCGAACATTGTAAATTAGACAAAAAATATATAAACGTTATAGCAGTTATAAAGCAAAAGAAAATAGCTTTTAAAATTTTTAAATTCGAACAGTCCAATTCCTCTTAAACATCGTCTTAATGTCCTTTTTTAATTACATTTAAATTTATTCGTGTATTTTTACAACCCCGGCGGGTACAGGCTAAATCTCCAGTAATTAAAACAAGCAAAGTCCTAATTGAATTAGGAAAATGCTATGACGCCGCGGCCACAGCTACATAAATTCATTAATTTCGCTACTTATTAACAGACAGGAACTTCTAATTAAGTTTTAATTACACTTTTATTATCGCGAATTTAACGCTGTTGCCTTATTTATACGAGAGAAATGTAGACTACACATTGCGCAATGCAGCAGAGTAATGAAAATAAAAAAAATACCACAACAGAAAGAAATTCGTATAGGCACCTACAATAGGTGAAAAACTTTTTTAATAGTGCCTACACCTATTATTTACGAGTATTCGTCAAAGAGGGTCCCGTACCAATACCTACTGCAATACGTGTTTATTTTATTAAATTCCTTCTTGTATCGGGATCAAACGTTCGCTGACAAATTCCCGACGGGACGCCGGATCCCGCAGGACGTCACGTCGGGTCGCCACCCCGAGCGCCATTGTTTCTTCGCACACACGTGCTGGCGGGCCCCCTTCAGGTGGGGCCCCGCGACGCCGAGTCGAGCACTCTCGCTCCCGTGCTACCGAGCACCTATACTTGCTTTAACTTTCTCAGGAATTTTATGAATTTACATATTACCGGTGCTGGTTAAGTTTGTATGTTTAACTAAGCCCTCGTATGCAATCAATCTTGGTATTAGCCAATTAAAATTACGGGAATATTTTCGCAAAAACCGAGCTTAAAAGAAGAAATTTTATGCCTATTTTTTAGATGCATGTTGTTTTATTAGATGCAGGTATTCATTACAAATTAAACTTTCTTAAATTTACACAGTTGTAAAAGCTTATCGAACTCAACGATCGGGAAACCGCAAGCTAGCTCGAACAAAAAAGGGATCGAATGATGCGGTTAGACAAAAAAGGAAACGAAAAATTTAATGACCGAATCGAAGAAATCCGTGTTATAACCGGCGGGGACAAAGTCGGGCCGCGGACGGTGGATTTGATAATTTTCGAAATAGCTGGCAAAACATCAATTTTCGACTGTGTCTTTCATGTCAATCTGATAAGGCCCTATAGGGTAGCCTTTATGTCTTTTCGAGGCGCAGCGGGGGCAGCGCCCAATGCGCTGCGTTTGGTTTTTTGACGGGGTAAAGACAAAAGTGGTTGAGGAACCACCCAGGATCGGCCAAGAAATTATACAAAAATAAAGAATCTTATTAGAAAAAAATTAATTATGCATTTATCTACTCGAAATGATTAATATTTTATTCAATTTATGAAGAAAAATTTCTTTTCGCAATACCTTTTCAGTTAAAAATAACATTTCTTGAAGATTACGAAATATTAGCTAAAGGTACCACCAAGATTTGTTTCCAAAAGAAGGAATTAAAAAGCGCCGGACCTGGATTTAGGCGGGCTATGGTCCTTTTAATGACTTTTTGGTCAAATTTACGATCTACTCTACGAAATTGTCCCATCATTTAATCCTTAAAACATTAATTTTCTCGTTCGGTCCGTTTTCGAGATAAGAATCTGTGGGTTTTTTCTTCATAATCGTTTTCATAAATAATTAATAGTTTGAACGGGGGATTTTATGGTAAATATCTATTATGTTTTTATTCGTGTATATTTTACGAGTCGAATATTTTTCAATTTGGTACATATACAGGGTGTTAGAGGGACATCTAAATAAAAAAATCTTTAAGAGAAAGCCATCAGCTTGGTTTTTTTTCTAAGAACGAAATTGAGACCTTGTTGCAAGAATTTTCGAATTTTTGTCACAAAACTTTATTGGCCTCCATATATACGTCCCGAACAATCGGAGCTGACGTCTTTTGTTTGGGGTTGTTTACACCACCTCACCTTGAGGAATTTCATGGGTGGTCAACGGGATAATTTACAACACCCTCTATACACCTATTCGACAATAACGGAAATGAATGGACGTTGGCAAAAAGTTAATGAGAATGCGACGTCGTAAAACGATTAACTTTTCGAAGACTCTATAAAGCTGTTTAAGATTTACGATGCTTGAATAATATATTCCAGATTTTTTTTGTAATTTATATACCATAGTAATGGAAGCAACTGAATTTTTTACATTTACAGCATTTATGTAACCAGAATAGTTTTATGTAATGAAATATTTTAAAGTTGAAGTATATGCCCTAAGACCAAGTGAAGTTTTGCCAGCAAGAACACGTTTTAAAATGTTCAAGCGACCAATGAGAATCGCTGATTTATCTCTGTATTCACGCCAGCCAACCATGTACCAGCCGTGCGTCCGTGTACGACAAAAGCGCTAATAATAAAATTGAATTATATTCGAATTTATTAAATACAAACACGCGAGGACTAATATACAACATTGAAATAAATAAATAATTTATTTATCGACTTTTTACAAAAATTCAACAACATATTTTTAATTTTTCTCATCTGCAGCAATGACATGTGGTTTTTCAACTCGTGTAATTTTTTTGGTAAATAATATAGTAGGCAAGAAAAATAATTTAGATTTATTGATTTTATATGCATGTAATAATTAAAGTTTGAAATAGCAAATATGTACTATACATATAGGTGTGTCCAGAGAGTAAGTTCCGTTTGGTAATTTAAAAAAATCGTGTACAGATATAGAAAATTTATTTATTGCACAAAGATCTACGACTCTTAACACAGACAGCAACCTTCTATGACATTATACATATGTTGAAAAACTTTTGCCACGTTATCAAAAATGCCGCAAAATTTTGAGAATTGTAGAAATATAGCCAAGAGTCGTAGGTTTTTGTGCAATATACAGGGTGTTTGATGAAACCTGAATTGATACTTCAGGATGTGAATATTTGGCCGATTAAGTTAATATCAACATATGTCATAAACCTCTTAGTTTTCGAGCTATATTGATATAACCTTTTCTTCTTAAAATCTCCCAAATATTCACGTTTAAATTATCATACAGACTTTACATTCTGAACCTAGTATACATTGAGAACAAGCAATGATC